CGGCAGCCTGTGTTTCAGGGAGAGGAGCACAGCACCCTATCTCCCCAGCGGCAGCTTACCCTACCAAGGGGAGACACCAATCTCCCAGATGGCGGAGAGGGGACCGTGGTCTCTATGCCCGACCTACAGGGATGCTGGACAGCCTGTCCAGATCCCCAACTACCCTCACAGGGACAACAGGAGGAGGGGGTAAGTACGAATTCCCCTCCCCAGCTAACTCCTACCTTGGCCCCAGGGTTAACAGGGGAGATGTTAACCCCCACGTTCCCCTGGCTACTGAGCCGGACTATGTCCCAAGCCCCCCAGCGGAAGAGCTGGCAGCTGGGCAGAGTGCAGTCGGCCTCTGCCCTCCCTTTGTCCCTTGTCCAGAGCCTGATGTCCTGCAGGCTATACCAGCAGAAGAGCTGGCATCAGGGCAGACTGCCGCTGGCCTCTGCCCTACAGATCCCCTTGTCACAGGATTGGCCTGCACCCCCCTCCTCCCAGCAGAAGCGCTGACATCAGGGCAGAGCGCCGCTGGCCTCTGCCCCTCAAGTCCCCACAGCGTGTTGCCCCATCACCCCAGAGGAATACCCAGGTGCAGTCACTGTTTGCTATGGGTGGGCTGCTCTAATAACTGTTTGTTGTGGGTGGGCTACTCTGGCACTTGCTTATGGTCGGTGGGTGACTCGACTAACTTAGGCACTGACCGACAGAAAGTCAGGTGCCTGGTTAGTCTTCCCCCCGAAGGGGAGATATGTGACGAAGTGCCCTTCGCCACTTGGTCCTGGAGAGGCCTACTTGCCAGCCTCCTCCCCTGTGACTATGACTCTTTCATCTATCTGGCTTTAAAGCCCCTAGTCTACCTTCAGACAGACTATTTATGTGGGCTGCTTTATTTATCCTATGTTTTAGTCACCCTGTACCCATTATAGGTGCAGGGTGTGTGTAATGTAATTGTTTATAGTGTGTGTGTGTGTACTGTGTAATGTATTGCCTGCTCTCTTGTATTGCTGAGGTTTGCTACCAACTAGGTGGGTTTAGCTATGGAGCTGGTCTAGTGCCCTCTGTTGGTAGCAACAGCAATATGCACTACCTGAATTGCAAGACTGGTTCATTTGCATATTCGGGTAGATTTGCATATTGCTAATTCTGCAGGCAGGTGAGATATTTACTGTTAAATATTGTCTCCCCCCACCCCTTTAAAAATGTGCCATTGTGTTGTGATAAGTCACTGTGTGTTTCTTGATATGGTTTGACTGTTTGTGATTTTATTGAGGTTTCACAACAATGTTATTGTGGTGACTGTATTGGCTGGTCCCAAGGGAATAAAGGTTTTGGCAGTTCTTCTTGATCCCTCTAAATGTAGCCTTGTCTCGTTATTGGAGGGAGCTGTTATAATCACACTGGGGATTGCTATGCTCTGCATGTTCCCCTGAGCTTGAGTCACTTAGCTCTTTTAAGAGCTTGTTCCTGACACGCTCTCCTTGGAGGAGGGGTCTTCACCACACAGTCCTGGAGGACAGAAGCTGATCCAGGGTGGAAGGAAGACGGCGAGACTCCAGTCAAAATACGGCGGTTGTGGAGTCTGCGGTGGTTGTGGTGTCTGCTGCAGTGCTTGGAGTCCTCAGGAAGCGCTAGGAGCATCCGTCAACGGAGGGTACTCAGTCGACGTACAGGGAGCTCCGTTACAGCACCTATTACCCGACTAATTAGAAATGATACCCCTGTATGTTATGTTTTTGCAAGGATTTATCCAATTGCAGTTTAAGCATCTGTATGGACTCTGATAAAACCACCTCTTCAGGCAGAGAATTCCATATCTTTATGGCTCTTACTGTAAAAAAACTTTTCTTTGCCTTAGATGAAATCTCCTTTCTTCAAGCCTAAATGTGTGACCTCGTGTACTACGTATAGCCCTGTTTCTGAATAGATTTCCAGATAATGGTTTGTACTGGCCCCGAATATATTTGTATAATGTCATCATATCCCCTCTGAGGTGCCGTTTTTCCATACTAAAAGAGATTTAAATTTTGTAACCTTTCTACGTAACTAAAATGCTCCATTCCTTGTATCAATTTTGTAGCTCGTCTCTGCACTTTTTCTAGTGCCATGATATCCTTCTTTAGAACAGGTGCCCAAAATTGCACAGCATATTCAAAGTGTGGTCTTACCAGCGATTTATAATGAGGCAAAATTATATTTTTTATACGTGACAAAACCTTACTAGTTTTAGCAACTGCAGTTTGACATTGCATATTGCTGCCTAATTTGTTGTCTATAACAATTCCCAAATCCTTCTCGTGTGTGGTTATCCCTAATTCACTACCATTTAGGGTATAAGTTGCTTGTGCATTCTTGACCCCAAAGTGCATAACTTTGCATTTCTCTACCATTATAGTGCCCAGTCCCCCAACCTATCCAAGTCCCTCTGCAGCAAAGCAACATCCTGCTCACATTTTATTACTTTACAAAGTTTTGTGTCATCTGCAAACACTGAAACATGGCTTTCGATGCCTATTTCAAGATCATTTATAAATATGTTAAATAGAAGCGGTCCCAAAACAGAACCCTGAGGGACACCACTTACCACTCTTGTCCATTCTGAAAATTTACCATTCAGCTTGTTGTACTCTATCCCAGGGGCAGATCCAGAGCCTGATCTCAGGAGGGGCACTTGTAGATTGTTTAAATAAATAATCCAGGCACAATAACCACTACAGCTCAGTGTAGTAGTTATGGCGCCCGTAGTGCCAGGATTCCATCACAGAGTAAGTAGTCAAACCGTTTAAGAACAGTTTGACAACTTACCTGGGGTCTGCTGGGATATAGGGCATAGGAGCAGTGGTATGTGTTAGGGGTGAAGTGTGTGTGAAAGCTGCAGTGTGTGTGTGTGAGCGGTGAAGTGTGTGTGCGAGTGCATGAGGGCAGCAGTGTATGTTAGGGTTGCAGTGTGTGTGTTAGGGACCAGTGTAGGTGTGGGGCAGTGTGTGTGTGAGAGCTGCAGTGTGTGTGTTTGGGGCAGTGTGTGTATGGGTGTGCAGTGTGTGTATGGGGCAGGCAGTGTTTGTGGGGCAGTGTGTGTATCGAGGGCAGTGTGTGTAGTGTGTGTGTATGGGGGGCAGTGTGTGTGTGTGTATGGGGGGCAGTGTGTGTAGTGTGTGTGTGTATGGGGGCAGTGTGTGTAGTGTGTGTATGGGGGCAGTGTATGGGGGGTAGTGTGTGTATAGGGGCAGTGTTTTGCGGGGCAGTGTGTGTAGTGTGTGTATGGGGGGCAGTGTTTGTATGGGGGGAAGGAGGGTAGGAAGGCTTTTAAATTTTTTTATTTAATAAAATAAATATTCATTATGTCCCCTCCCTTCTTACCTTTACTGGGAGGAGGGGGGACATTTCTGGATCCCTGGTGGTCTGGTGGGGAATCCCTGGTGGTCCCAGTGGTGGTCAGGTGAACTCTAGCCCGTAGCTCCAGGGCTAGAGTTCACTCTCGCGAGATTTGGAGCATTGCCGTGGTAACTGCAGGTAAGAGCTCCCGGGTACTCTCTCCCTCCCCCTCTCTCCTTCCCTCCCCTGCCAGGGAGGGAGATCTCTGAAATCCCCCCAGGTCCCGGTCCGTAAAGGCATATTGCAGGGCTGGCACTTGGACAATGCCAGCCCTGCATTTGCCGGCAGGGGAGAATCTCGGGGGGCAGGGGGGTAAATTGCCCTGTTGCCCCCTCCCCCCCGGATCCGCCACAGCTCTATCCTTAAGCCAATGTTCTACCCAAGAACAAGAATAATCATCTAGACGAATTTCTTTTAGTTTGAAGACTAACCTGTTGTGAGGAACCGTATCAAATGCCTTGGCAAAATCCAAGTATATCACATCCACTGATCTATACTTCTACTTACTTCTTCGTAGAATGCAATTAGGTTAGTTTTTACATGACCGATGTTTCATAAAACCATGCTGATTATTGCTAATAACGAAGTTCTTCCCAATGAATTCCTAAATATTATCCCTTAATAGCCCTTCAAATATTTTCCTAGTCACAGAAGTTAAGCTCACAGGTCTATAATTTCCAGGCAAGGATTTTGAACCCTTTTTAAATATAGGAACGACATCTGCCTTCCTCTAATCCTCCGGTACAATAACTGAAACAAAAGAATCTTGAAAGATTAAATACAAAGGTTCACTTATTTCCCCACTTAGCTTCTTAAGTACTCGTGGGTGAATACTGTCAGGCCCCGGAGCTTTATTTACATTAATTTTCTTTAACAGAAGAGTTGCTGATTGGCTGACCTTGTTACTAGGACATGTGAATATTTTTAAGTTTTTTACACTGTGTTAATAAATTATTTATTTGCTGCTGAGGGAAAATAAAGAAAGAGTGCAGCATTATACTCTTCTCCGTGTCATTAATAAAACCATGACTTTACGTCATGTTAATAGTAAAATCTTGGCATTTTAGTGAAATTCTAAAAGTCAATATGATTATTTCATAAAGATTCTATCTTTATAAAGTAATAATTGTTTGATATGGCAGTGACAGTAAGCTTTAACTTTGGAGAAGAATTTAAGGAGTTGTACAACTTGTCACATTGTGTGATGCTTGACCAACTACCCTTGCTTTTATTGACTAAAATGGGTATTATGATAAAACTGCAAATTTCAGGCTATTGTAGTAAAATTATCAATAAATATAAATTGGGGATTCATTTCCAAATCCAAAAACTTAAAATGTCTGTTTTCAGTTCATTTATCAGTTAATAAACACAAGTGACTTGTCAGGAAAGAAGGGGTACATCTCCTCATTCTCAGTCAAGTCCCCTAGTATGAATATAGGTGACACTCATCTCCATAAAGCCTTGATGTAGAAAGCGTTAACAGGTAAATGCCTCACAGGTGTGTTTACATTACGTGAAGCCACCCAGGTATTTGCATACGAGCGCCATCTGTAGGCCGGTCAGGGATGACCTGTATTTGAATTAAGGCGGGGCTTGTATCCGGAAGTGCTCCAGCTCGTGTGCTGTACAGTGGTACTGGGAAGTAGGAGGGAGAAGTATGGAGGGTACAGGGAGGGGTTGGTCATGAGTTATAGAATTGGTAAGGTGTATTCATTAATGGATGGATGTTTGAAAAAGGATGCTGCCTTCTTGATATTATACATGAGTGTGAATGAAGGATATAAGCAGAGGTAGTGGCAGTAATGAATAGGGAGGGGGTAGTACACAGTGGTGGTATAGGAGATAAGGGAAGGGGTAATAGAGGGCGGGGGGATACATAAGTGGTGGAGGTAGAATTATTGGATGGGGGAGGGGTAGTTATGGTTTTGGGGTTATACAGAATTGGTGGTAGTATTGGATGAGTGAGTGGGTAGTTATGTGGGTATACACAGTGGTGGTAGTTAATAGGGAGGGGGTAGTTATGTGTTTGGGTATACACAGTGGTGGTAGTTAATAGGGAGGGGGTAGTTATGTGTTTGGGTATACACAGTGCTGGTGGTGGTAGTATTGAATGGGGGGTCCTTATGTGTTTGTGGAAACATGTAGTGGGGGATATATAAAAAGAGGGGGAGTATTGTGAGTGGATACCTTTTTATAGTACACTTTATAGTGTTTGTTGCGTTGCTGTGTAGAGATGGCACTTGTATAGTGTTAGAGAAGGGAGGGTCTCGGATTATAACTCTTTCATTGTGCGAGTGGCGGGGGGTGACTAGATTTGCAGTCTATTTGCGGGGAGAGGCTGGCAGTTCTCCAGCCTAACTGTTCATTGCGAGGAAGCACAATGCAGGAAGTATGCTGATTTTGGGGTATGTGAACCACTTCCTGTGCAGGTCAAAGGTGGTTACTCATGTGTGCTACCTCTCAGAAATGCAAAGTATGAACGAACTACCGAGGGGGGGATGATAAAGCACGAATGCAAGGAAGGGCTGTGTTTGTTATTGCTAAGTACCTAGAATCAGTGTATTTTTGTATAATAAAGTAAGTGTGTAGCAATGTGTATGTGTGAGATGTAACAAAAAAATGCGTGTATGGAGGCGGAATTGTGCACATAACGCCCTCCAAAATATGCGTGAATAAGGGGTACGTTTTGGTGTCTTAATTATTTATGGGAGCTTGTCATTTCTAACCCTAGTTAATCTGCTACACTATAATGTATTACTTCTTTACTCTAAATATGTACTCTGAAATATAACATCTTTTCAAAGCTACGAGGTTTACCCATTACTGAGATTTGTAAGGAATTGGTGGGGTGCAATTCCTTGTTTAGTGAATAGACCCCATGGAAAATACAGGGTAACATTGTAGAGAAATGTGTGAACTAGAGGAAAACAACTGATCTTTGCAAGATTGGTCTGTGCTCTTGTATATTTAAGCAGTTCTGCAGTTACAGATGAGTGCTGTTTTAAAAGATTGTGTTATGTAGGTGGTGCTTTTGTCATTTTTTTGGGGGGGGGAGGGGGGATAAGAGAGAGTATTTATAAAAAAAAAAAAATATTCCCTGAGTACAGTAGATTTGAAACTCCACTCTGTTGTCTTGTCTTTTCTCTATAAACCAGTAGGTGCTGTAATTCAGCAATGTTCAACATTCCTTTAAAAAGGAGAAAGAGAGAAAACGCATATCCAAGTGGTTTTCCTCTACCTGAATGTTTGTTTCCTGATGTTTGTGTGTTCTTGGTGGAGCGCAGGATGGGGTCTGGCCGGAGAAACTTCCTCACGGCACTGGCACAGAGGAAAGGATTCCGTGTGGTGTCAGAGTACAGGTAATGAGCTGGCCCATTTCTCAAACCCTTTGCTGCAATTATTCTAAATGTAAAGAAACATTCCATTGGTTTGTTAAGATTATTAACAATCTCTTTATTGCCCTGGGTATGTGGTGTGAAAGCGCATGCAGTGCTATCTGTACTGCCCTTGAATTCTGTGACATGGCACTATGCATGGTACATCCACTATGCTAAAGTACACTTCTTTCCTAAATGTTATGCATTATTATGGCACATACCTTATCAATTGGAACTTTCACACTATTTAATTCCTTTTCAGTGATAGAGTTACTCATGTGGTGTCAGAACAAAACTCCAGCTCTGATGTCATGGCATGGATTGAAAGGCTTACAGGCCAGCCAGTGCTGTCTAGGGAAACTAAGGATGGACCACATCTTCTAGACATCTGCTGGTTCACAGAGAGCATGAGTTCTGGAAAACCTGTAGTGGTGGAACCCAGACACTGTCTAGGGGTAAGTGAAAGAGGCACATGTAGCTGAAAGTAGTTCTAGAGAAATGTTGCCTTTTGAGGTCATCTGTTTATATACTGGCACATACAATGGAAATGCAATGATAGTGCAGTTTTTTGGTGTTTTTTTTTTTTTGATGGTTCACAACACCTCACTCTGCTTTTAATATATCTATTTGCTTAGTCAGTCATTGTACCTCTTCTATAAAGTACATCCTGGATTATACTAATGCCAGTACAGCTAACCAGTTCCAAGTTCTTCTACAAGATACTGAATCCACTCAAGATTTCCTTTTACCATGAACAAGTGGAATTTGATCCATGTTGAATTGTGAGATGTCAGTACAATACACCAGACGTAGTGTTTCCTATGCCAGCAGATATAAGCAAAAGTGGTGGAGGCATAATCAATGTATACATTAGCGTTTATAGACTGATCAGCCACAACATTAAAACTACCTACACTCCATCGTACAGCGCTACGGAACTTGCTGGCGCTATACACATAATGAAATAATGATAATATCGTATAAGTTCCACTCGTGTTGCCAAAACCGCTCTGATGCATGGATTGTACAATAGCTCTGAACTTTTACTGTAGTATTGAGCACCAAGACATTAGCAGCAGATCCTTTAAGTCCTGCAAGTTGTTAGGAGGGCCTCCATGGTTGAGATTTGTTGTTCCAGCACATCACATGGATGCTCAATCGGATTGAGATCTGGGGAATCTGGAGGCCAGATGGTGTTCTCATTATGTTTTGTGTTGGTCCTTAGACCATTCCTGACATAATTGTGCAATGTGGCAGGCTACATTATCCTGCTGAGAGAGACCACTGTCATCAGGGAACACCATTGCCATGAAGGGATGTACATGGTATGCAACAATCTGTAGGTAGGTAACTTCCACTTGAATGCCATGACCCAAGATTTCCAAGAAGAACATTGCCCAGAGCATAATACTGCCTCCGCCAGCCTGCCTTCTTTCCATAGTGCATCCTGCTCCCATCTCTTCAGGAAAATGACACACACGCACTCAACCATCCAATTCTAACATTCACATCCCCACTGAAGCTGCTTTCAGCGGTGGATAGGGGTCATCATGGGCATTCTGACCGCTCTGCGGCTACGTTGCAAACTGCGATGCACTATGTGTTCTGACACATTTCTATCATGACCAGCATTATGTTTTTAGCAATAGCAGTAGCGCTTCTTTGTGATCGGACCAGAGGGGCTAGCCTTTACTCCCCACATGCATCATTGATCCTTGGGTGCCCATGACCCTAACCTAGTTCACTGGTTGTCCTGCGTTGCACCACCTCTGGTAGGTAATAACCACTGCATACTGGCAACACCCCACTTGCTGTTTTGGAGATGCTCTGACCTAGTCGTGTAGTCATTAATTACTATTTGGCCCTTATCAAAGTCACTCTGATCTTTTTGCTTGCCCATTTTACCTGCTCCCTACACATGAAATTCAAGTAGTGACTGTTTATTTGCTGCCATTGTAACACACTTCACCTTTCAGTGGTTTTAAACCCTTAAGCTTAAGGAAGCAGTTTTGGTGTATATATCATGTACCTGCAGTCTCACTACTCCATTATCTGCTATTTAGGAGTAAAATCACTTTGTTTATGCAGCCCTAGTTACACCTCCATGCATGTGACTTGCACGGCATCCCTAAACATGTCCTGTAAAGAGTAATCTAATGTTTACACTTCCTTTACTGAAAACTCTTTCATTTAGAATTTATCTCCTGCTCTGTTAATAGCTTGCTAGACCCTGCAGCAGCCTCCCGTGTGTGATTAAAGTTAAATTTACAGAGCAGGAGATAAAAAGTAAGTTATATCTGATTTTAAAGTGAAACCATGTATGTAAGCCTGCTTTTATGCCGAGTGCAGTCACCGGCAATGCAGGGATTTCTCTAGTGGCAGCAAATCACTGCCCGTCGGAGACGCATGCGCACGGCGGTGGAACGCATGTCCGGGTGGTTTTGCATTCCACCGGAGTTCCGACCGCGCTATTGCGCATGCGCGGTCTGAACTCCCCGATATGGCGCCAAATTTAAAGCGGATCTGCCTATTTATGCTGTGCAGATCTTCCTGTCAACATGGATGCTTGGCAGTGAAGGTCTCCCGTGTCACCAGCCCCCACACGGGTCAGAGGTTTTAGAGATATGATTCTTTAGACTCTCATCTTTAAAACTCTCTTTTTTTTTTTTTTTATTGTTTCTAGAAAATGATTTATTGCTTATGTATTCCAGACATGTCTAGTCCTGTCTCTACTGATATTCTGGATAAAGACAAAATGCCTACACCTGTTTCTAAAAAAGCCAGTTCCAAAACTAAACATATCTGTTGTAGTGAATGCTCTACTCCTTTACCAGTTGGCTTTAAAAGGAAAGTCTGTAATGTTTGCACTTCCTTGACGCTTGAAAAATCCAAGCAACAAGAGATGAAATCCTTTTTGTCTTGGTTTCAGGATAATCTGGCCCAGACTTTTGAGTCTTTTAAAGATCCTGCTCACACTTCTCCTGTAAAAGCTACTAAACAGAAGTCTAAAAGGAAGAGAACTCCATCTAGTTCAGAACTATTATCCATTGAATGTTCTTTTTCTTATTCAGAATCCTCTAGTGACTATTCTATTTCTGAGGTTGGATTTCCTCATGATGAGTTGAGAAAATTTATTAAAGAGGTTAATGTTATCCTTTCTGATGAAACGGTAGATAAATCCAAGGGCACTGTGGCTTAAAGCCTGGACAGCAGACACTGCATCAAAATCTGCATTATGTGAACTGCCTTTGGAGAAGAAAAAGTTGTTTGTTCTCCATTAGAAGAGTTAATCCGACAAATGCCGGAAACCAAGAAGGCCCTGCCTCAAGACAGGAAATATGCCTGGAAACCCAAGTATAGAAATTTCCAGTTCAAAAACCGTAGGGGTTTCCAAGAAAAACCCAGGTTTTTTTCGTCAACAAAGAAAAAATCCAAGATTTGACACACAAAAAGACCTTAAGTCTGACAGAAACAAACATTTTTGACACCGTCAGAGTGGGCGGAAGGTTGCAAGGTTTTGTGCACAGATGGAGGGAGACCACTACCAATCCATGGATTCTGAATCTGGTGCAAAATGGATACCGAATAAAATTCTTAGATGTTCCAAAACTGTGTTTCCTTGTCTCCTCCTACCGGTCGAAGTTAAAAAAAACAAGCCCTTTTTTTTTTTTCTGCCACGGTCTCCCTATTAAGAAAAGGTGTGGTAGAAAGGATTCCAACTTCCCAAGTATATCAAGGGGTATACTCCAGGTTGTTCCTAGTCCCAAAACCAGACATGTCTTTTCGTCCAATCTTGGATCTAAAAAACCTGAACAAACTCATTCCTTACCAACATTTCAGAATGGAGACTATAGCGTCTGTCACCCATATCCTTCGAAAAAGAGATTTCATGCCAACTTTGGAGCTAAAAGATGCCTACCTGCGTATTCCTATGGATGTGAAATCAAGAAAATACTTGGTTTGCTATAAGGAAAGGGAAAAAGGTCCATCATTTCCAATTCAAAGCCCTTCCATTTGGGCTAGCTTCAGCACCCAGGATTTTTACAAAGGTCCTCACACCGATCACAGCTTTTTTAAGGATGCAAGGAATCACAGTAGTACCTTACTTGGACGACTGGTTAATAAAGGCAGATTCAAGAGGCGCTCTAGAGTCAGATGTGGCCTATACGCTAGAAATCCTGGAAGAACATGGTTGGATTATCAACCTAGAAAAGTCACACCTTACCCCTACAAGGTCTATCCTGTTTTTATGGTTTTTGATCAAGTCGGAGTCTGTCAGTTCATCTGACAAGAGAAAAGAGAAAAAAGATAAAGATTTTAATAAAAAACCTTCTTCGGATGTTAGAATGTTCGGTGAGGAAAGCCATGCAGGTTTTAGGTCATCTGACCTCTATAATTCCGGCAGTAAAATGGGCCAGAGCGGGATCAAGGCCCTTACAGTGGGAAATTCTTGTCCAATGGTCAAAGAAGGAAGAAGATTTGGATGCTTTGAGTATATCAGATCATACAAAAGAAAAGATCTCTTGGTGGCTAGGGGAAAAATTCATTACAGAAGGCCTGTCTTTTCGTCAAAAATCTTGGATCGTGATTTCTACAGACACTTCAAATACAGGTTGGGGAGCTCACCTCCTGTATCACTTAAGACAAGGTGCTTGGTCGAAAAAGGAAACAATGGAATCTTCAAATTTCAGGGAGTTGTTGGCAGTTCTCTATGCTCTTCAGCAGTTAAAGGATTTCATTATAGGAAAAGCTGTAAAGATCCAGTCGGACAATCAGACTACAGTCTCTTACCTAAACAAACAAGGCAGTACAAGAGTAAAAAAATTGTATTTCCTTTGCTCACGGATTATGTCCTGGGCTCAAAGTCATCTAGACGACATTTCCGCCATTCACATTCGAGGAGTAGATAACATGGTAGTGGGCGATTTAAGCAGATCAAAATGGTCCCAGAACGACTGGTCTCTCAATTCAGAAATTTTCGCTCATCTGGTGAAGAGATTCGGTCTGCCAGTCATAGACCTTATGGCAAGAAGATCAAATGCAAAAGTAAGATCGTTTGCCTCCCTCTTCAAGGTAGACAAGCCGCTGGTAATGGATGGTCTTTCGATCCTATGGGAGTTTCCCCTTGCTTACATTTTTCCCTCAGTGAGCCTTGTCCCAAGGATTCTGCAAAAGGTAACATCAGATCAAGCTCGTATTCTGGCAATAATACTGTACTGGCCAAACCGCAGCTGGTTCTCGGTTTTAAAGAAGATAGCTTTAAAGTACTGGATTCTTCCGGTAACACCGGATCTTCTGGAAAACAAGGGAATTCCAATACAAGTATTGAACATGTTAAGGTTGACGGCTTGGCTGCTGCACGGCTAATTCTGCATGATAGGGGCATTAAAGAAGAGAGGTTTCAGTTACTGTTAAATTCTACCAGAAGCTCTAATTCTTTTATCTACTTAAAAATTTGAACGAGATTTCTTCACTGGTGCATATCTCATCGTTGCATAGGATCCTCTCCTTCTACTGATACTATCCTTCATTTTTTCAAGATGGTCTTGCTCAAGGTTTTAGTCTGTCTACCCTCAAAGTCCAAGTTTCCGCTCTCACTCATTTTTTTTTTTTTTTTTTTAAATAAATTGGGCTTCTGATCCTCTCATTAGGAGTTTTTTTTAAAGCTGTTAGACTCGTAAAGCCTCCTAAGAAAATCTGTTTTCCCTCTTGGGATTTGTCTTTAGTTTTTAAATCTCTGTGTACTGAGCCTTTCGAACCTTTGGAAGAAGCTTCATTGAAGAATCTGTCCCTGAAAACCGTGTTTTTGGTGGCCATTACTTCGGCTAAGTGGATAGGGGAACTCCAGGCCCTTTCTTCCCCTCCTGCCTTTACAAAACTTATTCCGGATAAAGTGGTTATGTACCCTAAGCCTTCCTTTCTTCCGAAAGTCATCTCCTCCAAGGTTATAAACCAACCTATTTTACTTCCTTCCTTTAATGGTCCATCTATGCCAGATTGGAAATCTGATTGGAGCCAACTAGATGTGGGTAGGTCTCTGAAAATCTACTTGGACTGCTCCTCTACGTATAGGATGACTGATCATCTATTTGTGAATTTCTTTGGAAAATGTAAAGGCCAAGTTGCCTCCAAGGCCACTTTAGCTAGATGGCTGGTGGATACTATTAAATTGGCTTATTCTTCCTCGAATCTACCTCTGCCTGCCTCCTTGAAAGCATATTCTACTAGAGCCATGGCTGCCTCTTGGGCCGAAAAAGCGTGTGCCTCTCCGGAAGATCTATGCAAGGCGGCTACCTGGTCTTCTTTCAACACTTTTGTCAAGCATTACAGGCTAGACATATTCTCTGCTTCTGATGCTGATTTTGGGCACAAGGTGTTACAAGCTGTTATTGCCTAACTTCCCGCCCTTAGTATGGGATCTCGATATATCCCTATTGTACTGCCACCATATGTCAGGAAAAACTGTAATTTTACTCACTGTAAATTCCTTTTTCCTTAATATGTTGGCAATACATCACTCCCTCCCTTTATGTATATAATATTTGGGTGTTCTGTGGATTCACTGAGGTGTTCTTGGTACGTACTGAGGTCCCTGGGCTGGTTGGGTCTTTTTTTTTTTTTTCATGCAGGCTGTGCACGTCACAGCCAGGGAAGGTGTGGCTTAATGGCAGTGAATTGAGCAGTAAAACGTCAGAAAAAAGGCAGTGTTTACATTGCTCCCTAGGTATACCTCCAGTGGCCACTCCTCTGATGGCGACTCCTCAAAAGTCTTCCAAAGAGGGAGTATTGGGGGATTGGGTATCAGACAAAATTTTCAGACAAAATTTTGAACAATCAAGAAATGGGCTTAGCTCTCCTATGGCTTTTTAATTTAAAAAAAAATAAATAAAAAAACACACACACACACACTCTCACTCACTCACTCTCTCTCTCTGCAATATTTTTGTACCAGGACCTAGTTTTCAGTTCACCAGATAAGGTTTTTTTATATTGATCAGCCAAGTCTACTTCCCCCATATACTCAGTTCTTCCTCTGACAGAAACAGGCACTGTGCATTGTAGACCGTATATATACATCTTGATCTGTTAACCCGAAGAACCACCAACTCTTCCTGGTGGAGAGCTGAAAAGGAGCCTCTACTGTTTCTGCCGCTTGTCAGGGTTTAGGTGAAACTTTTGTTTTATGCATTGTGCCACATGGTAGGGTTTCTAAAAAAAAAAAAAAAATGTTTTAAATAAATCAATACAGTTATGATTATCAACCCATAGATAATAACCCTTAATTAACAAGGGAAGGATTAGATCCCACACAATCTTGAAATTTGTGCACAACAGAATCAGGGTATCATGGTGGGTCAAGAGTGCTATCCTGCACTTGATAAATCTGAAACGCCCATGTATAGCCAGTAATGGATTCACATAATTGATAGAATTTGATATCATACCATGACCGCTCAGATGGGATATATATGAAAAGCAGCCTACCTTTTACATTTCACAAGAAATTAGTCAATAAAAATGTTTGTCTGGGATATAATTTTGGAAAAACTTGTCAGACGAGTTGGATAAGGTGGATTTTGTAAAATCTGTCAAACAATGGGTCATTTCTACAGGGGATACAGTTCATTATCGTTAAAATGGAGGGATTGCAGCATTTGCTCGTCGCAATTCCTCTCCATAACTGCTGGAAAAAGAGGGATAGCCAGGATTGAGTTCATGTGCCAGTAGAACCTGATTTTTCACAAATCCCATTAGGGTTAGTAACCCAATCTTATTTTTTTTCTGTGACGTGTTTTTTTTATTTATTTATTTATTTATTTATTTTTTCGTAATGTGACCCTGGAATCTCAGAAAGATACTGGTTGGTAAACAAGTTGGTTTTCTCAACCATCAGCTTAAATATGACATAAAGTGGCTAAAATAGTTCACTGGCTCACAAACATCTGCTGTTGTCGTGCTGCCAGCTGTAGCTGTGAGTGGGGGGTATATCTGGGGCAGTCAAGTTTGGGAGTACCTTGTTTTTCCTCTGGCACTGTGGGGCAACCGAAGTGCATCCTTGTAGATGGTGGTGTGGACTCGCTTAGGGGCTTAAGTTAGAGGCTGTCATGGTGTTACTATCAGAGCCTACTGGAATGACGTATGCTTCCTCCGCCGTATAATGGCGTGCCATCTTAGTGGGATTAATTAAAGCTATGTCCTTGAGTGGTTAATTTACCTGTAGTTCTCAATGAGTTCCCCAATAGGGAGCTTTTTTTTTTTTCTTTTGTATCTCAAACTTTCAAATCTGGAGTATGTATTGTGACTGTTTAAAGGAAAATGGTATTTAGTAATACATGTATTTTATTTTTTTAACTTTCTTAAGGTTGTACAGCCCCTGGCTACTCCTGAAAAAGTACTCAGAACGCAGATGCCATCGTATACTTGTCAGAGGCGAACACCATTAAACCATCATAATAGCACACTTACGGTAACTAGCTGTACATCAGAGGGTACCTGGCTGGGAGTGGGTTTTAGTTATGTCATCCTTTTGACTTTTGTATGAGTTTCTGCATACATTATTAATTGCATGGCTGTTTAGAGAAATCCACTATGTGTGTTACATGTCTGAAACCACAAAGTGTATTTCAGAAAAGGTGAATTGCCTATTTGATATGGAGCCCCTTCGTCACCTTGGTAATGAAACTTTATTGAACAGTATCACTTATCTCTTCATTCTGTCACAGGACGCTCTTGAAATTCTTGCACGGGCAGCTTTCTTTCAGAGTTCAGAAGTTCGCTATTTAGGTTTTACTAGGGCTGTATCCACATTAAAGTCTTTGCCCTTTAAATTGCAATCTGCAGAGGAAGCCAAAGATCTGCCGTGGTGTGGAGGTCACTGCAAAACAGTCATCCAGGTATGAGGACATGGCATAACATGGCAGTAAGACACGTTTAACCAGGCTGAATAGTGTAAAAATAAAACAAAAGCAGAAAATTGTTTTTTAATTTTTCTTTTTTTGTCTCCAAACTGTTTTATTGAATTAGATATAACAGCCTTGCATGAGCTATTTTATAATCACTTATCATCAAATTTTAAAAATAATGGCAAAAAAGTGAAACTATTTTAGCCTATATTTTGCATTTCAGTTTTTAATTCAGTGTTTAGTAAATGTACACTTGATTTTACTTACAGGATTATTCACTAAAGTGAGAATTCAAAGTGAGTTTTAAATTTAAGGTCTAAATAGCCATTTGGAAAAAATTCTCTATGTCCGCTATGCTTCCAGTTTGGCTACTTTGTCCTTTAAAGCGGCACTGTCACCATCTGAGGACTTTGCAAAGACCCTGATGGTGACATTGCTAATAAGGGTACCGGCAGGCAGCAAATGTGAGTTGTACTTACCCTATCTTGTCCCTCGCGGCCACCCCTATCCTTTTCTGCCTCACCCTCATCTGCTCGTGGCACTTCAGCAGCCAGGAGTTGACATTACTGCAGTACAATTGAGGAAAGGGTAAACCAAGATATTGCGAGAATTCAAAGGAAAGCTTTCTTGGAAAGGCGATTTAGTCTGAGAAATTTTGGTTGAAAAAGGAAGTGGAGCCTAATTAAGGTCCACCCAGTGTCTATGAAAGTCAAGCGTAAGAAAAATACGTAAGTCAAAGTTGTCAGGGGCGGGACCTGAGCCTCATGACGGCTGTACGTGCTGTCTATGTGCTCTGAGAACAATCTCTCTATTCTAAGCTGATTTTCTGCCTACCAGCTTGTCACAGAGACTTCATCCAAAACTTTCAGAGGCCGGCAAAGGTGCCTTGAGTTGATCTGTGTGCTTGTTCCATTTATGGAGGGGTTTCTCAATGTCCTAGGGAAGATGAAGGGCAGTAAGCAGCCACGACTGTATTGTTGGAATTCATATAGCTTGTTTGTATTCCAGTAGACCAACAAAGAGTAAGTTGTCGCCTCTACTTCTGTTTTCTAGGTCATCCTCTTTATCACGTTATTGTTCCATTTGTTGTGTTTGGGAAGCGATTGTGATTTGTAGGGAGGTTCTCTTGGTCGCTTGACGTTGTTCTACGTCCACCCAGTCTGAAAGAATTGGATGCAATGTGTCATGGCTGTGTCAATAGAGGATTTCCATTAGCTTGGTATTGAAGAATGACCATAATGTGTCTCTGATTACAGTAGCTATGGTTAAGGATTGTGTGGGCAAAACTAATGATTGGGATTGAGAAATATTTGTGTTTCCATTTGTGAGAAGGATTTTTCGCACAATTTGCTTTGCTTTTAAAAAAAAAAATAATTGTATTTATTTTTGCAATGACCGAAATTGCAATATATCAACAACATAGAGGCTTGTGCATAAGCCAAATCTGTTTCATCCATCATATTTGTTGTGTTACTGAAAAAATCAAGTGGCATTAAAGTATACATGTTGGCATATAGTGGTAACAGGTATGTTCGCAATCTATCAAAGTTTTTAAAATTTTATAAAGAACCAAACAACGTAATATAGCATAACTGCTCTGCTGATCTATTTCAGAAGGATGAGAGTCTTATGCCTCACCGCTAAACCTGTCTCGGGTCAGCGGCCACCATAGGGACGGGGGGAGCCCGATGACTCCCAATTTGATTTGCTTTTAATGCACTTTTTGGGAGGAGAGTGTGGAGTGGACAAGGTGTGGCTAGGTGAGGTACCAATCGATTCTCTGGATGGATGTTAAAGGTGTGGAGGCAAATAGGGGAGCTCTGATTTAATCTCTGGCTTTGAATACATGTCCGATAATAACAGCCTCTAAAATGTTCGAATTCTGACCGTGGGCAGTCTCGGTTGTAGCCTGCACAGACTGCAGTATGGTGGAGTGTAATGCAATAGGACTCAAAAACAATGAGGAAACTCCAAAAAGATCCAAAATGCATTTAAGTCCAATGAGGTCCTTTTTGTAGGGGTATATTAATACATTTCAAAATCCTCATACAGTACAATGCAGCCTGGAGAGCTACGGAGTATGGTGAAAATGAGGCTTCCTCTTCACAAGTAGGCAATTATTAATAACCACAGGCTACTAATAAGGTAGAGCACTTTACATACAATGTGGTACTTAAGTTCCACATGATATATAAAGCGCTCCACTTTATTTTTATTATCTGTATCTGTTTTCTTGGGTATTGAGATAAGGGGTCTCACACAGGTGTTTTAGAGCAGCTTTTTATGGTCTCTACTTGTGTGATAACAGGTAGTTGTTTCTGTTTCCTTCTGGAGATGATATAGCCCTACTATATGGTAGGCACTTTTCTCTGTTGCACCAGCAAAATGATAAAATAAAAATTTAATCACAGTCCACTTTGTTAAAGAGCTGTGGATTGAAATCCAAGATGGCTGATGAATGTGGCCCAGTATACCGGGCCAGACTGGCCAAATGCTCTACAGTGATCAAATTGTTGCTAGGTTTGGCACCCCAAAATCCCCAGTTCTTTATGGGATGGAGCCAGCAGCATGAAAGGTATGCTCCACTATCTGAGAGTAGAGCTGCAGCTCCAGACCACAAGTGTGGGCCTGCCTCATGGGTGATTGCAGCCAGTGTAGCCTAGAAACAGAGCTGACACCTGGGAGAGGCACTGGAGAAGAATTTCTGGAATGGGGATACAGCAGTGTCCCCTCAAATGGAGATAGGCTATGATGTCCCCGCAGAGAAGGCCAGGTGGGTGGTAGACTCTCAGATGCACAGAGGTTTGCCATGTTCGCCGCCTCCTCAGGAAGTCACAAAGTTTAAAACCTGTTTCTCTAGATATTCCTGCTTAATCACTGGTAAATTTAAATCTGTTCCACATATGTGGATGTGCACAAATTGGGCACATGTGTTACCCTCAAGGCCTGGAATGAGCAAATTCAGGAAAAAATGCAGTTTTAAACAAGAATGAATACATATAGGTAATAAATATAAAATTAATATAATATTATTGTGCTTACATTCAGGAAATCCTGGAAGGAGGAGTATGCAGAGAAGTGGAAACTATCAAAAGCAATGAGCAATACCAGGCTATGCAGGTATGGGATAGTGGTTAAACACACATTGTTTGTACTGTATAGTAGTGGGGTTTGAGGTTATCTGCCTTTTTTACAAAACCGTAATTTCTGACTACTTGTCACCTAACGTCACTCCTGATGTCTCTTAACTGGTAGCCTAGGAGGCACACTAAACAATTCTTTGTGGTTACTTTATTGCATTTGCACTGCATGCAAGATGCAACATAACCAGCGGGCCATTAACCTTAAAGGGATCGTATACTCCTGAAAATAATCATTGTTTTGGGAATATACGTTCTGTATCATTAGTGACCCCTATCCATCCCTCTTTTCCTTAAAATATCTCTGGCATTATAAGGTTCAGTTGCAAAGCTGAAAAGTTGCTTTGACCATAGACTAACAGAGTCTGCTCATGAATATGACTTTTTGTGCACAGGTATTTTATTATGTTTCCTGTATTTGAGACCATCCCTGTCTGGCCGTACCATAATTAGTATACTGAGCATCTGCGATCTCACCTGGATTTGAACCATGCCTGCTGTTATTGTTATGGTATGAATTCCTGTAACCCCCAGTGTCCAGTCATTTTATTTTTAGTGATTGGCCAGCTGCCAAAGAATGGGCACATAATTTTGACAGTTAGAATTTTAAGCACGCTGTCAGTGCTGCTGAAATCCGGACACAGTTAGGGCTCATTCTGAGTCAGAATTGCAAAAAATCAGAACATTGTTACAGTGTCAACAAGATATTTCTGTCTAAATGGGCCCCATGGTTCAGCCCCATTCAGACTCTAGTAAATAGCCCTTGCAACTGCATATTGTTTAGGCTGGTAGATGGACTAGTGGGAAACTAGAAACCCCTAATTTAAATTGGTAGCAGAAAATAGCCATGTGAGTTAATTTTTGTTTTGTATTTCTGGTTCAAGAATGTTTTCAGAGGATGGAAGATGTATCTCCCTATAAGTGGAAATGAAGGAAGTGGTTTTTATGGTTTCTCTGGTAAAATCAACTTCTGATAGTCATTAGTGAAGAGGGAATCCAGAGTTTAGCTAATCTAATCACTCTCAGCCAATGAGTTAGTCAGTGAGGAACTTTTGTCTCTCTGGCATTATTAGTGGGGAGTGGTATTCTATAACAATCTGACTATGTAAAAGGGGGTTGCCAGGGCACTCCTTGCACTATAGTCACTAAAGTGAGCTATTTTAATAGCGTGGGTATGTTAAGAAGTCATCAAGTTTAGGATTCATTGCCTTATGAGCTACTTAAAGGGTTATTCCAAGAATAACATCAGCATCAGAACCACTACAGATCAAGTGAGGTGTACTGGCATGTTTCCCCATTGGCTTACTATTCTCAGCCATTGAATGCAATTTTGACTGGGCTGGCTGATTACACACTAATGATACTGCTGGAGGGAGGTGGAGTTTCATAGCAAAACACTATATGACCACTTCAAATCACTGAAGTGGTAATGGTGTTTTGAATAACCCTTTAAACTGATTTGGGAATATTGCACTTGCTGTGCAGTTGTTATCCAACATGTATTTTAGCTAGGCCATTTTAATCCTGTCCTTTCAACAGCTTTTAACAGGTATATATGGCGTTGGTGTGCGTACGGCAGAGCGGTGGTACCAGGAGGGTATACGAAATCTTAATGACCTAAAAAACACAGAATCCAAACTAACAGTAGAGCAGAGAACAGGTGAAGCTCAGAGAGAATTTAAATGTTAAGATCCACTGTATATGGCTGTACAATAACATGCATTGTTTGTTACTAGGGTTACAATATTATAAAGACTTGCAGCAACCTGTGACTCGTGAAGAAGCAGAACGTGTAGAACAGCTAGTAAAGGATGCTTTGCTGAGGTTCAGCCCAGACGTCCAGATTACAATGACAGGAGGGTTCCGTAGGTAGGAAACCCAAACTATGTAGAAGTTGGTAAAGTATGTTTGCATGTCACTTATTATCTTAAAGCAAAAGGTGAGCATTTATTTTCATTATAAAAAAAAAAAAAAAAAAAAATTTACATTCAATTAACCGTTCATATGTGCTTCAGTTCTAAGTCATGAGTTACATTTGTTAGTGGAAGCTGTTTTTTATTTTTTTATAACATACAAAATTTAATTTGCTATACTCTAACCAGAAGTAGCTTATATATATAGATAGTGCATCCTTTCTATGTATATATTGTATATAATTTCAGCGTGAGATAGCACCAGGGCATTGAGCTAAGTACTGTTTCACCAGCAAGGAGATAGATAGATAGATATATATATATATATATATATATATATATATATAGAGATAGATAGATATAGAGATATATAGATATATATATATATATCTAGCTCCTTGCTGGTGAAACAGTACTTAGCTCAATGCCCTGGTGCTATCTCACGCTGAAATTATATACAATATATACATAGAAAGGATGCACTATCCGGTCTTCCAAAGTTATAAAGGTATTTATTCCATCAAATGGTATGTAATAAAGTGATCGACGTTTCGACCCATTCGGGTCTTCCTCAAGATCAACATACAACCATAAAAACAAGCTTTATATAAGAAAAATAAAGTGTACTCACCAATTGTGATTATAGCCCTCCTCCCCTTACTCGAAACCCGGAAGTGTCTGTCTGTCGTCACATGATTTGCGTAATAACGTAAACACGTTGGACATGCGTGATGATGAAAGCGTGGTTGCTAGGAAACCAGTGTGTATATAATACACGACCGGTTTAATATAGTTCCGTGTAGAGTGAATCGTAAAGTCTGTGTGACTATCTATCGGGATATTAGTGAATATAATATATACAGCATGAGAATCATATTAGAGCACATATGTGGAGCATTCCATAGATTCAATTAAGTGAAAAGAAAGACGTATCAAATGTATAAAAAAAGCATAAGGGAAAATGATGTCAGTGAAGAGACTGTGGGGAAAAAAGCTGTGAAAAGAAATATGACCATGCCACACTGTAACAATAATGTGTATAAATTCATATAAAAATTTAAATAATGTTGCTATACCATAGGAAGAACATATATCAAGTCAACTATTGTTAAGTAGACTAATAGGTATACGATATCTTGATATAGATATATATAGATATATATAGATATAACATTTTAGGTATCTACTAGGAAATTAGGATTCTGTTAAGAGCATATAAACCTAATACTGCAGACAAATATATTTGTCTTGAGTAGATTTTGTTAAGAGCGAACCCACATATTATAAAACTTCATAGCTAAAGAGGATCATAGGGAGTAGCATTAAGGATTAAATAGCCACCTTAGAGGTCTTAAGCATATTATTACTGTAATGTAATACTACAGCAATAGCATACGACCAGGAGTGTAAGTTAGCTGAAAAAAGTAGAAATAGTACAAAATATAAAAAATAACGAGAAAATAAAATATAACTAATAAAAAATAAATAAAAATAAATAGATACAGATAAATAGCTGGTGTTATATATACAGGGGATATCTTTTCTAGGCAAGGACTTCATCTTCAAAGGAAGATAGAGTAAACAATATTTCCGTTCAGTCTTTTGGGTGTCACAGTGTCTAAATGATGTATCCAGCGGGCCTCCCTTTGTAACAGCATTTTGGATCGATCTCCCCCTCTAGGAAGCATGGGAATATGGTCAATAGCTGTGAAACGTAAAGTCGGTAGTCGATGTCCTAAGACCAAAAAGTATTTGGCAACTGGTTTGTCACTGGTGTCACGAAATGCTGTGGTTATGGTGGATCGATGGCCCCGTATCCGATCTCTAAGGGTCAGGTTGGTTTTACCCACATATGACAGTCCACAAGGACAAGTGATCATGTAGATCACATGGTCAGTGGTACATGTTATATATTTAGAGATGTTAATTCTTTGGCCACTATGTGGATGAGCAAACGAGGTTCCACTGACCATGTGGCTACAGGTAACGCACCCACTACATTTGAAGCATCCCTTTCTGGCAATTTTGGTAGGGATTTGATAACAATGTCTAGGGTCTTTTCTCACCAGTATATCTCTGAGATTTCTGTTTCTCTTATAACTGAGTGTGGGTGAGTTTTGAAACGTCTTAGGTAATTGTTTATCCGCTTGTAGCAATCCCCAGTGTTTACTGATGGAATTTCTGACCACCGATGTACCCGTATGGAATGTGATAGGGAGGAATATCTTTGGCATCGATGTTGTTTTAGTGATCTTTTTATCGTTTTCAGATTCCCATATTTCTTTAGCTCGTGTCTTAGCTACTCTGAGTCTGTACCAGGTATCCCCTAGCCCTGAATCTGCTCCACATTTCTTGAAGTTGTATTTCACGATGTTCCATTGTAGTATTGTACTTATATACTCTCAAAAATTGGGATATAGATAAAGATGATTTGAAATTTTTCCGGTGGAAACTTGAAGCCATAAGTAGGGTATTCCGTTCCGTCTTTTTACGATAGAGTGTGAACTCCAATTTCCTGTCTTGTTTAAAGATGGTCACATCTAGGAACTGTATAGACTGTACATCATAACTCATAGTTAATTTAACTGAAGTAGGAGCTTGGTTAATTTCCAGTATCATCTGTTCTAATTCAATAATAGTGCCAGTCCAGATGAGGAATATGTCGTCTACAAAGCGATGGTAATGTCTAATCCGTTCTCCATATTTTATTATAACCTGCTGGTTTTCAAAGACGAACATAAAAGCATTGGCATACGATGGTGCCATCGCCGCTCCCATAGCTGTCCCAGAGAGTTGAAGGAAAAAGTTGTTCTCAAACTTAATTACAGGATAGGGCAATATAGAGAAATTCCAACAGAAATTCTATAGATGGTCCTGTATACAGTGGAGAAGAGCTGAGGATCTCTTGCAGAGCCTGTACACCGCCACTATGAGGTATGACCGTGTACAGGCTCTGGACATCAAGGGTGACCAACAGAGACGCGTCTTCTATCAAAGGTGTTTGATTGATCTTCTGAATGAAGTCCTGTGTGTCTCGCAGACAAGTGGGAAGTGCCATTACACTGTTTTTAATGTGATAATATATTTTGTGATGGGTTCCAGTAAGCCCTCATTGTCTGACACTATGGGCTTGCCTGGTGGAGTTTTGGGGTCCTTGTGGGTTTAGGTAGCGTGTAGAGCACTGGATGTTTAGGGTGTTCAACCAACAAAAATTGTGCCGTTTTATCATCTAAATATTCATTTCGGATTCCCACCTCGATATGATTTTTAATTCTTGTCTGGAACTTCTTCACAGGATCGAATGTGAGTTTAGTATATGTATCACGATCATCCAGTTGTCGTAGTATCTCTTGGCGATAGTTTTGATAGGATTGAATGACCATTGTTCCTCCCTTATCAGCCGGATGAATTACAATAGTCTGATCTTAGCCAAGATCCTTTTAAGGCTATTTTTTTCTCCTTTGGTTAGGTTGGAATAGTGTTTGGGAGGATTAATCATCATTTTCTCTGTGTCAGCCTTGACTGCTTGGATAAAAGTTTTAATAGAAGGGTTGGGTGTTCAGATATCTTTATTGTATTTCTTAAAAAATGGATGTGATGGTGTCTGTATATTGTCCCTCCCAATTTCATTACTGTACAGAGTCCGTTGCATCTTATACATTTCAATTTCCATTTGGAAAGGGTCTGGTCTCGAGACCGGAACAAATGATAGCCCTTTGTTTAATAAGGAGTAGTGGTCAGCATCTAGAATTTTATCAGATAGGTTAAAGACAGTTGTCTCTTAACAGAATCCTAATTTCCTAGTAGATATCTAAAATTAAATATAACAAGATATTGTATACCTATTAGTCTACTTAACAATAGATGACTTAATATATGTTCTTCCTATGGTATAGCAACATTATTTAAATTTTTATATGAATTTATACACATTATTGTTACAGTGGGGCATGGTCATATTTCTTTTCACAGCTTTTTTTCACAGTCTCTTCACTGATATCATATTCACTTATTCATTTTTTTTTACATTTGATACGTCTTTCTTTTCATTTAATTGAATCTATGGAATGCTCCACATATGTGCTCTAATATGATTCTCATGCTGTATATATTATATTCACTAATATCCCAATAGATAGTCACACAGACTTTACTATTCACTCTACACGGAACTATATTAAACCGGTCGTGTATTATATACACTGGTTTCCTAGCAACCACACTTTCATCATCACACATGTCCAACGTCGTTACGTTATTACGCAAATCACGTGACGACCGGCAGACACTTCCGGGTTTCGAGTAAGGGGAGGAGGGCTATAATCACAATTGGTGAGTGCACTTTATTTTTCTTATATAAAGCTTGTTTTTATGGTAGTATGTTGATCTTGAGGAAGACCCGAATGGGTCGAAACGTCGATCACTTTATTACATACCGTTTGATGGAATAAATACCTTTATAACTTTGGAAGACAGGAGAGTGCATCCTTTCTATGTGTATAGTGTGTGTGTGTGTGTGTGTGTGTGTGTATATATATATATATATATATATATATATATATATATATATATATATATATATATAATATATATATAATATATATAATTTCTTTTTATTTTTTTTAAATATATTTTTATTATAAATGCATAGACATCAGTATAAAATGTCCTCTTATTTTGAATGTATTTATTACAGGGGAAAGCTGGAGGGCCATGATGTGGACTTCCTTATCACACATACTAATGAAAGTGCTCTAACTGGGCTTTTGGAAAATGCTATTAATTGGCTCAAGAGTAAGGTGAGCAATCATTTATTATTAGTGTACTTTATTATCAACTTAAATCTAAAATGGACTGCTACTTCACTCAAGAAGTTTAATACTTTGATAGAAAGGAATTGATTTGCAAAAATAAGAAAATGAGTGCAACACAGAAGATCAGGCATTACTTGCTTTGAAAAAGAATGCACCACTTCTGTAGTGTATTTACATTCAATTTCCTTTGGGTTCCATGTGATATCCCAGCTTAACCCTTCAATGACGTTAAGATGCTTAATGTCATTCCAAAAAAAGATGGACTTTTAGACCTTAAGCACACAGCTTTAGTTTTGCACTTAAGTACACAAGCAATCTTTGCTGTGTTTATGTTCAATTGCAAGCTTGGAATTGTCACCAGTGGGGTACCTCAGGGATCTGTACTTGGACCCATTCTCTTTAATATTTTATTAGTGATATTGCAGAATGTCTTGATGGTAAAGTATGTCTTTTTGCTGATGATACTAAGATATGTAACAGGGTTGATGTTCCATGAGGGATAAGCCAAATGGCAAATCATTTAGGTAAACTAGAAAAATGGTCAGAATTGTGGCAACTGACATTTAATGTGGATAAGTGCAAGATAATGCATCTTGGACGTAGAAACCCAAGGGCAGAGTACAGAATATTTGATAGTCCTAACCTCAACATATGAGGAAAGGGATTTAGGGGTGATTATTTCTGATGACTTAAAGGTAGGCAGACAATGTAATAGAGCAGCAGGAAATGCTAGCAGAATGCTTGGTTGTATAGGGAGAGGTATTAGCAGTAGAAAGAGGAAGTGCTCATGCCATTATACAGAACACTGGTGAGACCTCACTTGGAGTATTGTACACAGTACTGGAGACCGTATCTTCAGAAGGATATTGATACCTTAGAGAGGGTTCAGAGAAGGGCTACTAAACTGGTTCATGGATTGCGGGATAAAACTTACCAGGAAAGGTTAAAGGATCTTAACATGTATAGCTTGGAGGAAAGACGAGACAGGGGATATTTGATAGAAACATTTAAATATATAAAGGGAATCAACACAGTAAACGAGGAGACTATATTTAAAAGAAGAAAAACTACCATAACAAGAGGACACAGTGTTAAATTAGAGGGACAAAGGTTTAAAAATAATATCAGGAAGTATTACTTTACTGAGAGGGTAGTGGATGCATGGAATAGCCTTCCAGCTGAAGTGGTAGAGGTTAACACAGTAAAGGAGTTTAAGCATGCATGGGATAGGCATAAGGCTATCCTAACTATAAGATAAGGCTAGGGACTAATGAAAGTATTTAGAAAATTGGGCAGATGGGCCAATTGGTTTTTATCTGCCGTCACATTCTATGTTTCTATGCAATGGCCATCTTAAAAAAAAAAAAAACAACAACAAAAAAAACAAATAAACAAATGTATTTGTCCTGCTTTGCAGAGTACATCATCAGGGTTATTTACCAAACTGAGAATTCAAAGTGAATTTCAAATTTAAGGCCAGACTGAAAGCAAATTTAGACTATTTTGACCTTAAAATTGAAATTCATCTTGAATAACCCCAAATCATCTTGAATAATCCTACATATGTCTAGGATTTAATTTTGTTTTTGGCAATTACGGGTAACAAATACAAGAGTATTTATTTTTTAATATATGTATAATTTTGTAAACCTGTTGTACTCTATAAACCCTTAAAATGTGTCGAGCTCCGGAGCACAATACCCTCAATGTATGCCTTTGCCACTATCCTGTAAAACTACAGTGCTGTATAAAAGACCTGACCATTTCCATTTTTATAGTTAGAATTTTGATAGATGGATTTAATGGGCATATGTTTCATTTGTGGGCCTTTCTAGCAGTTTGACCGTTCAAATTACTCCACAAAGGCCTATTATTTGTAAAAGTAAACAGTCACGCTACAGTCGCGTTTTCATAGCGTTATCCCGGTTTGGGTCTATACCTTTTACTTGTTTTGCACGCTTGCATTTCGTTTGTTTCGGCCTGCTCGGGCATAATTGCACATATAGTTATTCCCATGTGCTGAGCTTCGTAGGGCTTGTTCGGTTCTTTTACCTGCACGAACAAATACTTCGTTCGATTCCTTTTTCGAATTTTAAATTCTGTGCGTATTTCTAAACTTATGCGAACAAGTTCTCTTTCGGTTCTAGTAGTCGCACGAACACTCGGTGTGCAAATCTTCCCGATTCCCTTAAATAACATTAGTTCTCTTAACCCCTTAAGGACACATGACGGAAATATTCCGTCATGATTCCCTTTTATTCCAGAAGTTGTGTCCTTAAGGGGTTAAATAGACGAATGTTATAGTTATAGGAATTTATTTTGTTATATGTAATTCTAATGTTTGTAGCAGAATCCCCCTATGTGCATAGCCTGGTACTGCAGTCTGATTTTATATTCATTATTTTATTTATATAGCGCCAGCAAATTCCGTAGCGCTGTACCCTAGAGAATTAAAATTATATTATATAAGATCGGTTATTAAATTAAACCTATATCTTACATGTTTTAGATTTTGCTGGGTACGTCTGTATCTGTATATATTTTCTCTATCTTTGGACGTCCAGGAAGTTGTCATTTCTAGGTTAGTCACAAGTTTGTATATAATCATGGCATAATCCCACACCTTCCTCTGTTGTTTATTCTCTTGTTTCACTTATTTAGGTGACACGCTTTATCCAACATTTTTCCTGTCAGGGTGCTCATCATTCCTGGCAGCATTTGCCATTATTTGCCTCGTGTCCAACAGTAGAGTATGTTACTTTTATTTATTTGGGTCCACGATCTGGCCCACACAGAAGCATTAGTTCTCAGATACTGTTCTACGTTTTTTTTCAATTTTAGGTTGCTGTACCCATTTATACTATCCTTACTCTACTTCTATGGAACCTACTTTCAGACCTTACAGTTTCAGGTACGTACTTTTTTTGGTCTAAATAGTGGTCCCCTATTAGTAGAAATTAATGGCTGTTTGGTATCTAGGTTCCCAATATGGTAGGTTTTCTGGCCTTTATGCCATAGTCTAGTGGTCCCGTGAGGCCAACACCCATCCTAATACTCAGAGGTATACGCCCATCGGTCCAATACATAGTTATTCACGTCGCATAGAGAGGGCCTCACCTGTCACTCTTCTGTTATAAATGTCACTGAGAGGCCGATACCCCGCCACAACGTTCGCTGGCTTCAACAATCCCCCTGAGCCAACACATAGTTAGAGCCTCTCAAGCTGCTTGGCAATTAGCAGGGCCTCACCTGTCACTTCTAGTGGAATTGTTTTGCCACTTGGCAATAGCTAGCCTGCCAGTACCTATTGGGTTTTCACACTAAATGGTACTTTTATATTTCCGTATGTCCAAGGCTCTTGATGTCCCAGAAGAACTGTCCCTTCCAGGCACCCCTGCTACGTCTGGTACTCCTTCCAGCAGAGAAGACACAAATAGTCCATCGCTCAGATCGTGGACTATACCATGTATCACTGCTGAACTCTGCAGGAGGAATATCCCATTTCCGGCTACTGCTAGGAAAGCAGTGCTGTTAAAGATTCTTAATCTTAACAGAGGCAACTCTGATGCTGGGTAGGGGCCTAGTGGATCCCAGCCGCCTGGTGTCCAAGCCATAATAGCATCTTTATTATCATTGGACAGATAAACGATCGATAGGAGCAGTTGGAAAAGGCAAGCATTCTTACCTTGCCTACTAGACCCACAGATGCTATCCCAGCAGCATCTGCACTGACAAAACCGGGTAATTCTCTAGTTCCTGAGGCTATAAACCCATCGCATATGATTCCAGCTCATTTTTAAAAGGACATCCTCAAAGGCAAGGATGTTAACCTGGTTTCGCTCCTTATTGCCTCCCAGGATGTAATTGAGAATAGGACATATGCGTATGGGGATATTTCATTGGTGCTTAAAGCAAGAGACCCGAGGTTGAGTAAAAAGTTATCTTTGCCTGAATGTTTATTGTTCCATTTATCCTGTCAATCTGTCTCACCTTCTTTCAATCTCACTGATGTAGAATAGTACAATTATAATTTCCTCATGGCAGAAAATGTTAAGGATCATCTTATAATGAACAGTATCAAAAATTACTGCAAGTTAATTACAAACCATTGCCTCCCTCCAGCTCGCTCTCCTACTGTGTTTTAACTCCAAGTTTCAGCAATCTTCAGTCCCCACAGCTGATAATCATCTGAAAAGTTCAATCTCCTTTAAGGCAACGCCCAGAGAGAGTTTGGTTGCTAACACAATTTTAAGCCCCTCAGATAATTGGAGCCTTATTTAAATATAAGTTTCTGCCTTCCCCAAAGATGTGTACATGCATAAGCTGGTGGATCTGGGGAACAAGTACGGTGGTACTGCTTTTTATGATTACTGTTCTTTTTTGGCAAAAGTGGCCGCAACTCTGACTCAGTTTAATTTATGTATAGATTGGAGTAGATTGGCAGTTATTCTGCAGACACTTTGCAGGCCTCAGAACCCCGGCTTGTGCAGTCTGCACATCCACTTCTCACTCCACAAACATGTGCCCTAATTCGGCAGAAGTCTCACAGGGCCAATCCGTTCCTTTCGTTCCCCCAAATTCTACCACAATAATAAAGGATAAACTGGGTTGGGACATTGTGTTTTTAGGCAAATACCAAATCTGCAATAACTTAAATGCAGGTACCTGTGGTTTTTGCGCATGTAGACTGTTGCACATTTGTTCTCATTATTATTATTATTATTTATTATTGCCATTTATATAGCGCCAACAGATTTCGTAGCGCTTTACAATATTATAAGAGGGGGGATTTAACTATAAATAGGACAATTACAAAAAAGTTACGGGAACAATAGGTTGAAGAGGACCCTGCTCAATCGAGCTTACATTCTATAGGAGGTGGGGTGTAAAACACATTATGACAGGAATTTGCAGTCAAATAAGGTGGGCTTCCCTTTAGGAGAGAGCAAGAGACAGGTATGTGAGGTAGAGGTTAGTCTGAGAGGCCATAAGCTTTCCTAAAGAGATGGGTTTTAAAGCACTTCTTAAAAGATGCAAGACTAGGGGAGAGTCTGATGGCGGTAGGCAGGCTATTCCATAGGAAGGGAGCCGCCCGCGAGAAGTCCTGCAAGCGTGAGTTGGCTGTATGGGTGCGGACAACGGACAGGAGGTGGTCACGGGCAGAGCGGAGAGACCGAGAAGGGACATGCCTATGGATCTGTGAGGAGATATAAGAGGGGCTAGAGTTGTTCAGTGCTTTATAGGTGTGAATTAGTACCTTGAATTTACTCCTATAGGATACAGGAAGCCAATGTAAGGACTGGCAGAGGGGTGAGGTGTGAGAGAATCGACTAGAGAGGAAAATCAGTCTGGCAGTAGCGTTCATTATGGACTGTAGTGGTTCAGTACGGCTTTTGGGAAGACCAATCAGGAGAGGGTTACAATAATCCATGCAGGCAATTACTAGAGCATGGACAAGCTCTTTGGTAGCATCTTGCATAAGAAAGGGGCGGATGCGGGCTATGTTTTTAAGATGGAATCTACAGAATTTGGCAACATGCTGGATGTGAGGCTCAAAGGTGAGCCCAGAATAAAGTATGACGCCTAGACAGCGCGCTTGCAAGGATGGACTGATGTGGGTACCACAAACTTGAAAGGAGAGCAAAAGAGGAGGATCAGTATTAGGAGGAGGAAAGACAAGGAGCTCAGTTTTAGAGAGATTGAGTTTCAGAAAGTGGGAGGACATCCAGTTAGAGATGGAAGAAAGGCAAGCAGTGACACGTTGCAGGACGGCAGGGGAGAGGTCCAGGGAGGAGAGATATAACAGGGTGTCATTAGCGTACAGGTGGTAGTGGAATCCAAAAGAGGTAATAAGTTTGCAAAGAGAGGCAGTATAAAGAGAAAATAGAAGGGGACCAAGTACAGAGCCTTGGGGGACTCCAACAGAGACAGGACGAGGGGAGGAAGTATCATTAGAAAAGGAGACACTGAATGAGCGTTGGAAGAGATAGGAGTAAAACCATGAGAGGACAGAGTAACAGAGACCAAGTGATTGAAGAGTTTGAAGAAGGACGGCATGATCAACGATGTCAAACGCCGCAGAGAGGTCAAGAAGAATTAGTATGGAGAAGTGGCCTTTGGATTTAGCTGCGATTAGGTTGATAGTAACTTTGATAAGTGTGGAGAGGGCGGAAGCCAGATTGAAGAGTTGGAATTGAAGAACTGAGACACACTAATAAAGACAAGTCTTTCCAGAAGCTTTGAGGAAAAAGGGAGCACGGATATGGGATGATAGTTAAATGGGGTGGACGGATCGAGGGATGTTTTTTTTAGTATAGGTACTACAGTGGCATGTTTAAGGTCCGCAGGGACAATGCCAGAAGAGAGAGAGCAATTGAAGATGTGCGTTAAGGAAGGCACGAGACAAGTGGAGAGAGATCTAATAAGGTGAGATGGGACAGGATTGAGTGGGCAAGTGGTGGGGCGAGAGGAAAAAAGTATAGCAGCCACCTCTTGGTCAGTAGCTGGGGAGAATGTCTGAAGGGTAGGAAAGGCATGATCTATTTGTGATTGAGAAACAGAATGTTCAATCTTGTCAGTAAAGTAACATGCAAAGTTATCAGCAGTAAGGTTAGTTTGGGTGATGGCCACAGCAGGGCGAAGAAGAGAATTAAAGGTGTCAATGAGACGCCTGGGATTGCGGGAGCATGAACTAACGAGAGAGGAAAAGTAGGACTGTTAGGCAAGGGCTGCGCTGTATGAACACAATATGAATCTATAATGGAGAAAGTCTGACAGGGTGCGAGACTTCCTCCAGGAGCATTCAGCACAACGGGAGCATCTTTGCAGGTAGCGTGTTGATTTAGTATGCCATGGTTGGGGGCGGGTCCTCCTTTAGGTGCTTGTTTGAAGCGGTGCTGCAGCGTTCAAGGCAGAGGTGAGGGTAGTGATATGACCAGTGAAGGACAGAAGAGGGAAGGGATGGACAGCAGTTGTGAATCAATATCAGCTCACAACTGCTGGAGATCAAGAGAATTAAGGTCCCTCCTGAGTTGAGGAGGGTTAGGCTGAGGTTGTTGGGTGAGGGGGTACACGAGAGCAAATGATAAGAGATGGTGATCAGAGAGAGGAAATGGAGTGTTGCAGATATTGGATACTGTACATGCTGTGGCGAAACCAACCTCGCCACTGTACACTGGAGAAGCCTGGTTGCTCGCCTGCTGCCTTTGGACTATGGCCCCATGTTAAAAGACATCTTTTTTCCCTGCAGAAAAGACTTATTCGTGCTTTTCTGCCGGGTGTTCGGTAGATTCAATCAACCAACAACCGCACGAATGAATAGACCACCTGGGAGCTGGAGTGTGCCGGCAATTAACCTCCCTGAAGCTGCGGTTAACCGCAGCTTAATTGACGAATGCTGGGTGGCCGCCATTCGTATCACGAACACGAGGTCGCAGCCATTTTAAATATGCGAATGCACAGCGGTGTTCGACGCTTAATTCATGGAACTGAAATCGGACACAGTTTTGCGCGAACACCGCTGAAGCCGCCGACCTCCCTTCTTGTTCGGTGAAAGTGCATGAACGGTTTGAGTGTGTTGTGCCCCAGATAGGAATCCCATGGAGCCCATTCGCATGAAACTGACTGTGTAAAGACTTTGGCTCCGTGGCGTTTAAACTGTATTCGTGTGGTCTGAGCGCCATTCGCTTAATAATGTGCGCTCAGACCTGAGCTATCTGGGGATATGTTAAATGTATGCTTTTAATGTTATGTGTCTCACACAGTGTATTTTAATAGTAATTCATGTTTTAGTATCCCCACGTGCATAATAGCGATTTGCCTTTGTCTTGGGAGATAATTGAATTACTTCTCAATTATCTCCAAGGCAGAGGGGAGGAAGCCAGGATGCATTGTGGGAATATAATGTGACTGTGTGTCCTATTTGTCAACTTGTCTGTCTTTTGTCACAGTCTCCCATTTGGTCCCCTAGGGGAGTGTCCACCAGGTGGGAGACCTGCATAAAAGCCGGGCAGTTAGCCCCAGTAAATGAGTTCCTGCTTAACCCTCAAAGTGAAGTGTCGTCTCGTTATTGGGGGAGGATTTACTGTATGCTGTTAGAGACTGATTGCCAGGAGTGTAAGCCGCTTGGGGACTTTTCCTGTTTGTCTGCCAGCAGCTATTCGTGTGTCTCCAGTTCGGGAGTTTGGAGTGCTGCTTGGTATGCAGTTCGGGAGTTTCGAGTATTCCCTTGGTTGCAGTTCGGGAGTTGGTGAATTCGTGGGTTTGCATTTCGGGAGATTGGTGCTTGCAGTAGCTGTCTGTGCAGCTGAGAAAAGGGGAATATCGCCTAAACGGTTTTTAACCGCTTGTGGGCAAAACGATCCGTTACACATGCATAGGAGAAGATTAGGTCAAGGTTTTTTTCCAGCTACATGGGTGGGAGAATTAGCCCACTGGGATAGCCCGAGGGAGGAAGTAATTGAAAGTAGTTTAGAGGCTGCTGAGGTCAAAGGTGGGTTAATGGGAATATTGAAGTCCCCGAGAATAAGGGATGGAATATTAGAAGAGAGGAAATAGGGTAGCCAGGCAGCAAAGTGGTCAAGGAAGAGAAGAGGGGAACCAGGGGGATGATAAATAACAGCAATGTTATCAGAGAAGGGTTTGAAAAGGCAAATTGAATTTGTTTCCAGGCTCATGCCAAATCCATGTGCCCAAATAAAATGTACCCCAAACCCTACCTCACTAGTATTGATATTGTATGTTTTTTCTGAACTGTTAAGGAACCACCCTTCTCAACAGTTGGTTAACTTTTTTTTTTTTTTAGTTGTGGGATTATCACGGGGTTTCACACAGGTATCATTCACTTGCCATCTGGTAAGCTTGAATGTTATTTACAGTCAGCCCTAGCAGATCCAGACTCTGTAGACAAACTGATAATGACTGAATTGGAACAGGGATTTGGTCTTGGCACTTTTAGGTCCCCTTTAACCTCATGGAGAACTAATCCTATTGGGATAATCACCTCCAAATATTCTCAGAAAAGATTGATCTTTGATCTATCGGCACCACGTTCCTCCACGGTTCCTAGTCTAAACTCTCTCATACCCTCAGAAGAGTTTTCCTTACTATACACCACCATTGACAATGCCATCGGAGCCATTCTCGCAGCAGAGGCAGGGACATGGCTCAGTAAAACTGTTATTGTCAATGCTTTCAAATTACTTATATTTCACCCTTCACTGTGGCATGGTTTTATATTTTTTCTGCAGACTCGTGTTCGGTTCCAAGAACAGTCCCAAAATATTCAATATTTTTGCGGAAACCCTATGCAGGTTGCTACTTAACGTGTGCAGATGCTTGACTGTAATACATTACTTGGACGACTTCCTCACGATTCCTCTCACCCCCTTCACAGTCAGTCAGTCTTTTTGAATCCCTGGGTATATCCGTATCCCCAAAAAAGACTGAAGGGTCCTGATACGGTAATTCATTTTCTAGGAATTCAACTAGACTCTGTTAATATGCTGACCTGTCTTCCTCGTGAAAAAATTGAGCGAACTTTGTCAGGTATCAACCTTTCCTTACAATTGGGTTCCTGCAACTGGAAGCAACTACAGTCGCTGCTTGGCTCGCTCAATTTTGCCATGAGGCTGGGCTGGTCGCTCAGTCAGATGCTTCTTAGATAACCTAGCTACCTGCCACATTGTCAACAAAGGTCGATCATCCTCAATAATAGTCATGAGGTTTTAGAGGAAACTCACTTTTGGTGGCAGACACTCACCAATTTTTTTCTTACGTGTATTCACATGCCGGGGGTTTCTAATATATCTGCTGATCACCTGTCTCGTTCCCGCTTGCAGGCATTTCACGAGACTCTTCCCACGGCCTCCCGTCAAGCTACTCCTGTCTCTCCATTTCAAGACATGTTAGTTGATTAAATGTTTTGTTGTTACATGCACAAAACCCCACTTGACACTCTCGGATAACACTAGGAAATCCTACGACAGGGCTTTTCACCAAATTCACTACTGATTTTCATATTCACGACAAGTTTGCAATGGGGTCTTTATTGGGTTTCACTTCTTTTTGCCACCTTAAGATAAAATTATCTTATAACACTATAAAACTCTATCTAACAGGCATTCAACACCACATGCTGATACTACACCTTAACAGAACTGGATTCTTATCCTCTTATTAAATTAAAACCTTTCTAAAAGAGGTTTACAGAAATCTGACAAACTAAGAGACTACCCATCCAAGGTAAACTATTCCAATCACTATCTAATTTATTAGATACTTCTCCTTTCGAACCAAATACCAATATGGTAATCAAAACAGCCGTATACCTAGCCTTTTACAGTTTCCCAAGACCAAGCGAATTCACCTCTGGCACTCTTAACTGCCGCAGATTTCCTTACAACTAGGAATATTACTAAAACCAGGGATCACTACATCCTGTCACTCAATCATTCCAAAACAAGTCAGATGGGACCTCTGGTCAATTTACCATTCTATCCTACTTACAATAAATGGTGCCCAGTTCTGGTTTTAGATGCATACTTCACTACGTTTTTCAAATGTTACCTCACCAACCACTTCTTGAGCTACACAATTCCATACTCACTACGTCCAAATTTATGCTGTACGATTGTCTGCTATTAACTAGGCTTGGCCTTAATTAAAATCTCTATTCAGGCCACTCTTTCCACATAGGGGCAGCCTCATCTGCCCCCTCCAATAACACTCCAGCACATATCATCTAAGCCATGGGACGCTGGAAATCATCCATGTATACCCTATATATCCCTGAACCAGTTAGAGATTTGTCAAGCCTTTCAAGACTTATCCAAATGATTAAAGTATTGTAGAACAAATAAAATTTACTATGGTACACTTCTTTGTCCTCTTTTATTACAGGCTTACTGCATTGTCTGTTCTGGCAAACCTCAACGACTGGTGTTTTTAAACTATGTTACTATTTATGGTAGCTAACCATTACGGCAATATTGCCCCGACCACATTTAGACCAGATTTATTTACATTTATTTGTTCTGTGACTGCACCTTCCTAGAGAGATAGAGAGAGGGAGGGAATATATATATATATATATATATATATATATATATATATATATATATATATATATATATATATATATATATATATATTCCTGCACTCCATGAAATTCAAAATATACTTGCCCGGTGCTTGACAGGCAAAAATACAACAATGGATAAGATAGCACTCCCAGGACTTGGAATAAGTATAAAACTTAACTTTTAATATACTTTATAAATAAATCGACATTTAACACAGACTTTCATCAGGACTACAAGAATATATATATATGGGGTGATAAATATTAAAAATAATATTTTCATAAAAATGATCAAAAATTAATTTAATTTTTATTATATCAAAATTGATATCTTGGCACTGTTTCCCTGATTTATATTAATTAAAGCTGAGAATTACCCACTATTTTTAATTCTCATAGATTCTGGAGTACGTTTCATTAGAGGATTTTTATTTCACAAATTAATTATATAAAATATATATATTTTTGACAATATTTAACATGCGTGACAATCAGTGAATATTTAGGTATAACATAAGTATACAATATGGCAGTGATTTAACACAAATTACAGACCGCTAAATAGCAAGTTATGTGTATTCAGTTTTCAACAAGATTTACGACAGGACTCTTCACTTTGAAATCGAGTAACTAACACTTCCTTAACACAGAACACAGCAGCACAGCATAAAGCAAAAAAAACTTTGGCTGACAGACAAATCACATTGAATTAACTCATTCACTGCTGGCTGCAGTTCTCATATTCAAGATTTCCTATTAAAAAATGCAAAGATACAATAATTGGATAGTTCCCCTTAAAAGAAGGGGGGGAGCTCCCAATAAATCTGATAGTGATGGTGAAGAGAATGCCAACTGATACAAAATATACCTATAGATTTGTCAAAAGTATAAAAAGGTAATAACTACAGGGAAGGCATATAATTGATATTTTAGACACTGAATGAACATGTATCCTAGCATAAACAGTGATACACTGCAACTTTATTAACTGTACTGTAGAGAGGATACAATGTATCAGTGTCTCTGAAATGCTTATAACCCTAAAATCCTATGTGGATCAACCTCAGTGTCCAAATCTCAATTAAGGCATACTAAGTGTTAGGGAAATGAGATATATCACATGGGATGATCCACAGAGAAAACAAAATCAATGTAGTACCTTAAAATCTTATTATAGATAAGTAGGTAGGGCAATAGAGGAGACAGTATAGCATAGAATAAACCTAATATCCGTTACTAAGTAGCTTTACAAATATGTTGGAAGTGATATGAGTAATTAAATTTCAATATAACCAGTGGTTGGAGTAATATAATTGAGGAAACTCCCCTAAAAAAAGCGCCACTATTCTAATCTCCTATAATCTCCTCCTAACACCTTCGTGGGTGTTCTATAGTAAGTAAGCTAGCTAAGCGCTGTCCCCTCACACTGATACCACTACACTAATAAAGCTCCATAAAGAATTAACATTTAGACTAATGAGAAAAACAACAAAAGTAAAGGTGTATAAAGGATTCCCTCGTGCATAGTGAAGTGCTCGAGTGAGTGGAGGGAAATCCAAAAGAAAAACCCGACGCGCGTTTCAGAGTACAAGACTCCTTCGTCAGGGGCTGAAAATTGCTGCCCGAACTCCCCCTGGTATTTAAATATAAATTAGCCAATCCAGAGTGTTAAAATAAATTTCGGCATTGATGACGTATCGCTTAGCGATCACGTGGGGTTACCGTGGGCGGGATATGAAACTGTAGCGTCAGAATGATTGACAGTACTTAGCCCGAACGGTAAAGGCTCATTATACGAATTTTATATATTTAGGAATCAACTTGTTGAAAGTTGTTGAAAGTGCTGGATGGCCTCTCTGACTATTATTCGCCGCATTAATATATACACATGCCTGCAAATGGTTTATGGATATTTCGCCAATCACTATAATTATATGCAATGGTTATCTTCAAATTATTTAAAGGTATAGATGATCAAATCATTGTATTACCGATATCTCTTGATAAAAATATCTTCCGATTATAGTAATAGAGGTATAGATATAGTTATGTTTTTCTATATTAATATCCAAATTAAAAAAAAAAAAAACGAAAAGAGGGAAGATGGGCAAAAGACAAAAAAAGGGGGGGAGTTAAGGAACTTAAATTAAACAATCCACCAAATATAATGCTAACCAGTAATCCAAAATTACTGGGCTGAACTTTAAAGAAAAAATGTTAGCTAATAACTAGACTGGTTAAGGTATAAAAATCAAAATATTTACATGCGTTCTAAAAAGTTATAGAGACTTCCTAAATAAATGGGGAATATGAGAAACCTTAATTTAGGGGACAATGTTTTTAGATGGTAAATCCAATAGCATTCACGTCTTCTTAGACGTTGATCCCAATTGCCTTTCCTTTGGTCTGGTTTAATTAATTCAATGCCCAAAAATTTGAGGACACTAGGGTCCCCCTTGTGGGCTGTCTTGACATGTCTGGAGACAGGAGTTTCAATGTTCCTAGCTGTTTTAACTGAGTTTATATGTTCGAGAATTCTTTTCTTAAATGGTCTGAAAGTTTTGCCTACATACATAAGATGGCACTGACAGGTAATTAGATAAATCACCCCTTTTGAATTACAATTAAAAAATGATGGTTTAAAATTTTCTGTATGGGTGCTGTTGCTGGAATTTTTTGAACTTGTGCTTAGATAATTGCAGGCTTTACACCTTCCGCATCTATATGTGCCTTTGATTTTATTTGACAACCAATGTGTTGGAGGTTTGTTGGGTTGGAAATGACTATGCACTAGCATGTCTTTTAGGTTACTGCCTCTTCTAGCTGTTAAGGATGCATATGACAGAAGAACATCTTTCAACTGTGCATCTTGTTTTAGAAGGGGCCAAAAACAATTCATAATTGTCTTGACCTGATCCCAGCCTGCATCAAAGGTGGCAATGCATCTGAGTTGTTTCTGGTCTGCTTCCTTTGAGGTTGAGGAGAGGGCCATGTTTTCTCTGAGAAGACTTTCCTGTTTAGTTAAGAGAGCCCTATGATATGCCCTCTTTAGACACTTATTTGGGTACCCCTTGGACCTAAACATTAGACGTAATTCTTTTGCTTTTATCTTGAAATCTTCTATGTCCGAACAATTACGTCTTAAACGTAAATATTGGCCAATAGGGATCCCCTTTTTCTGTTGGATCGGATGATGACTTTTCCAATTCAACAGACTATTTGTAGCTGTGCTTTTTCTAAACAGATTGGTTTTGATCATACCTTGTTGATCCGAGGATACAACAAGATCAAGAAAACTTAAAGAGGGAGTGCCGATTTCCGCGGTAAACCTGAGGTTAAGGTCATTAACATTCAGGCCTTGCACGAATTGGAGGAACTGGTCCCCTGACCCAGTCCAGACGATAATATCGTCAATATACCTTTTCCAAAGGTGGATGTACTGGGTCAGGGGATTTTTGGGGGGAGATGTAAATACAACTTGTTCCTCCCATGAACCCAGGTGCAGGTTGGCATATGAGGGTGCACACGATGTCCCCATAGCGGTCCCCTGCACCTGATGGTAGTACACCCCATCAAATAGAAAATAATTATGTGTTAACACAAATATTAAAAGATTCAATACCAGATCTGTGTGCTTATCAAATTGTGTCCCTCTCTTCCTCAGGAAGTGCTCTGTGTGTTTAATACCTAGGAGATGTGGAATGGAGCTATACAGGGATTCTATGTCCAAACTGCAGAGTATAGAATTTTCCGGTAGTTGGATCTGAGTCAGAACTGAAAGCGTCTGCTTGGTGTCTCTCAAATATGATGGAAGTTTAGTTACCGAGGTTTCAAAATATAGTCCAGGTAGACGCTGACATTTTGAGTCATATCATTTCCCGAGACAATCGGTCTACCCGTTAAGACACTATATAGTTTGTGGATTTTGGGTAGACTATAAAAGGTGGAGATACGAGGACTACCAATAACCATATAGTTAAATTCATCCTTTGAGATTATTTTGTCATTTAGACCTTGTAATAGGATGTTTTTTAATTTTTCAGCAAATATTTTGGTAGGATCTTGTTTTAAAATCTTATAAGTAGTCTGATCTTTAAGAATTCGTTTATTCATCTCCACATATTTTAAAGTATCCATGATGACAATATTTCCTCCTTTGTCTGAGGGTTTAATTGTTATTGCCTGATTGTCTTTTAAATCCTTCAAAGCCCTATATTCCATTACCGTTAGATTGGAATTTGGTTTATAGCTTATCTCACTAGGTGAGATTTTCTCAATCTCCTCACATACCAGTTCTACAAAGGTTTCTACATATTTTGAATCGCCTAGTTTGGGGCAAAAATGACTTTTATTCCTCAGTGTCATATAGGGATATTTTGCTCCCTCAGTCGTGTCACTCTCTTCTAATAATTCCGCTAAAATCATGGTTAAGCGGTAGTCCCTGAGTTCTAACCCCAAATTTCCTATTATATTACAATGACAAATACAATATTTCTCATACTAGATCATTGACCATTCCTATGTCCATCCAATAAGAATAATTCTAACCAGATTTTACGTTTGCAGAATTTTCCTAATTAAGATTCACTATTTCTAAATGACGTAAGCGAATATATATGGATAATTGCCTGGTATTCTATTTTTAAAGTTAAAAGTAATATAGAGTTCATTGGTCCATCTGCAGTAATGGAATTACAAATTCTATATATTAACGAATCATGACTCCTTAATGTTGGAATCACCAGCTTTTATCCAAGTATATTCTGCCTTTTAGTAAAACCAATTCATTTAAATTACTTAAATTAAATAAAACCAGCATAATTACCGGTTATGTTGTAGAATTTCTCTTTTTCAGGCTTGGGTATGTATCCCATTAATGGTGAATGAGAGTATGATGAGAATTGTGGGAAAAATAGAAAAGTTTTCAGAGTTCTGAATTTTAAAGATAAGTGATAGTTTGAAGAGATGCAAAGAATTAGGTATGTCCAGATGTCAGATCTTAGATGTTAGGTGTGAGTCCATCCTCAGAGTGTCCTTAATTTTTAAAGGAGAAGTGCTCAATACGTCACTAGTTGATAGGACCAATAGAGAACTGTGGGTGTGTCTTCCCTACAGACTATCATCTATATTTTGGTCAGTAGTTGGCACAATAACATCATAGAAAATTCTTGTCAGGGGGTCCATTTACTTTTTTGTATAAAGGGTTAACTGAATTTCGTGATGCGTTTGACGTAATCACGGTTATCATTATGGTTACCTATTCGTCAAAGACATGTCACTCTTCAAAGCATTTTCTTTGGTTTATGCCAGACTTATGTCTGCTGTTCTCGCCATACGTTAGATTTCTGACACATCCTAAACTCTTCTTCACCTCTTTATACAATGGAACTTTGTTTGCTTTGGACTAGAGGAGAGCCCAGTACAGTCTCTGGTCTGCCAAGCCATGGCACACTCATCCTGTCACATAAACCCTTCTAATCTTGTCACACTCCCTACTTCAGCCATACCACATTCACCCCAACCATGCCACACCACACTGTCACATTAACCACCTCCCCCCCTCCAATCCTGTCACACTTACCTCCCCTTGCCTGTCACACTCCCTCATTCAGCCATGAAACACTCACCGCACAATACTGTTACACTCACCCCCCCTGCCAACATTATCTTATTCACCCGCACGCCCTGTCAGTTATCCCTTTACACACCCTGTCACAGTCACTCCTAAACACAGTCATCATACACACACACATTCATGAAACATTGCTTAGCCATAAAAACAATGCACAAAGGCCACAAGCATCTGGTTTGACATAGGTTTAATGGACAAATTGACTCTGGTATATATTTTATGGGAAAACTGACTATGGCATGTTATGTGGGGCAAAGTGATACTGTTATGTGTTCTGTTTGGTGTGCTTTGATTGAGAAGCACTAATTTAGATCATAATTTATAGCTTGTCATTGCAATAATTTTTGAAACCTAAAGAAAAAATGAGCTTCAAATGCAAAAAGTTATTCTATGTTTGAATAGATTAACAAAATAGTTAAAGTGGCTATGATGCAGGGAGTGCCCTCCCAGAGCAAGTAGATAAACGGTTTGTTTTGAAAACTTTTATATGGGGTGCAGAAGCTGAGTGCACTCGGCTAATGAGTGCAGCCCTACACCACTGGGTTTAGCTTAGTGCAGAGAAGTGCTCTGGTACCCCGCAGTAAGTGGTCAAATGTTTCTTAAACAATTTTACTATTTACTCTAGGGTGACACTTCTGGTACCATAACCACTGCAGTGGGAAATGGTGCCTGGAGTGTTCCTTTAAGACCAATTTAAGGTTGTTTCTTCTCTATGCTTTGAAACATTTTACAATACATTGTAAGGAAATGTGTAACTGGCACTGTTCAAGCTTACAATCAAGATCTTCAAGTAGGGATACAAAATAGAATGTAACTTCTAAATGGGTAAAATAGTAGGTTGCAATTATTTAAAAATTATATTTTGACATAACCATGAGAGGCAGTTAATTGACTAGTCCTAGGTATCCCTCTCAAATACTTCCCTAGATCTAGACAATGACATGTCCACATTAAAGGAAGACTTTGGGCATCAACAGAATTTGCATTTGACCTTTTAATTATTATGTTTTTTTCTCCCTGTTAAAATCTGTTTGCTTAAAGAAAAAGGCTTGTAACATTTTACAGCAGTACTTTTAGCCACGCTCTTTTCACAAAGCACCATTTCTTATTAGATGTATTCTGAGTATATACTCTGCTCAGCCAATGAGAGACCAGTGGGCTTAACTGTTGACTTCACCCACTTTATAGCTATTGTCTTATTGGTATAGTATTTTAAAGCTGTACTTTGAGGAAAGGGTAGAAATGATAAGAGGACAGGGATTGGCTGTGGGTTGCAGTGGTGTAAGCAATTCAGCTTCTGAGTGCATGCTCAGAATACATCTCAGATGAAAGATTATTTGTGAAAAGATAGAGAGTGGCTAATGGCACAGGGATATGTTCTGTGGAAAGCTACAAAACGTTTTATTTATTTTTTTTGCCTGAACTATGAGATTTGAAGTGAAGAATAACACCTCATAAATATAAAAAGACGAAATCTAGTTGATGCCTAGAATATGATTTGAGTGTCCTTTTAAAAATCCCGTAGCATCATAACCTTTAAGCAAAAGTACAACTAAACCTAAACTAAAAAAGACTTGTACATTAGTTTAATGAAAACTAATTCTTGCTTACTTTTATTGCAATGTTAAGATATGTGTGCTACATCATTATATCTACACATTATACTACTAATATTGTAAAACTGCACCTGTAATTCCAGTATATTTATAGAGTATTGGAGTTAAAAACTTTTTGCCCTGTGTATTTTATTACGTTTCATTTGAATTGTTTGTCTTTCAGTGTAATATTGTAGGATATCTGTTCTCATCACTCACTAAATCTCTCCATTCAGGGTTTGATCTTATACTATCACATGAAAAAGAGGAAACATACATCACATGCAGTTTCCAGCTTAATGGATGGCCATGAAACCTACTATACCATCTGTGCCCTGCCAAGCAGCAGCTCGCAGAACACAGATCTTGAAGTAAAACCACACAATTTTGTGGCTGCAGAACAGATGGCTTGTCTGAAGTCACAGATCTCCAAGGGCTGGAGAGCAGTGCGAGTGGATTTGGTGGTTACACCGCATGCGGAGTATCCTTATGCTCTTTTGGGATGGACAGGATCAAAGGTTTGTAGTACATTGGCTTGGATTCTGTTTGTAGACCTATTCATGAATTCTGTTGTACTCTTTTTTTTTCAAATTCTGCTTTATTTATTAAAAAATTTGTTTAATGCTAGTTTTTATGGATTAGTGGAAAACAAGACTAATAGTGTACAGTCAATGACAAAATATGAAGGATAAACAAAACAATAAATGAAAAAAGTTGCAAATGAAACCAGTTGCAATAGGACTGCCGGTTTGTTTAACCAACAAACAATCTGCAACAGATTTCTACACTGCAACCTGCAATTTATTTTTTTGTCTCGTAAGAAGCTTAAGACGAGATGACAAAAATACACATGGGTCAGGTGAGATGGTTTTTAGAACACCTGAGAAAAGAGAGAATAGATCTCCAGAAGATTGAATTTTTTTATTTATGACGAAAATATTCTGGGTATAAAGGCAGCAAATGATGTGCTAATCACATTAGTACATCTACAATATCACGGAGTTCTATTTTAATGTCCTAATTATCAATGCATTGCAGTAGCCAGTTAGTTAACATTTGTATTACCTTTTCTGCTTCTGTCCAAGCAGCACAGAAGATGTTGACATGCGACTGACTTAGCATATGTTGCAAATAGCTTCCGCTATATACTGCATTTACTCAAAGGTGATTTCCTTACCCGTAGAATTACTTGTATGTCATTAGCAGACCTTGTGATTTTCTACCTTTTTCTATAAAAATGGCAATCATAAGGCTGTGGCAGACTCATCTAATTTGTCTGTGAATATGTACATTGAGCAATTTTTTTTTAATTAAATTTTTTTTTTTTATTATTTGTTTTATTAGAGTACAGAAGAAAAAGAGGGGGTAGGGGTAAGAAGGCACCTGCCAGTTAGATTGTTGTTCACATTTTACATAGCAGGGACGGTAAAGACAAGACATTGGAGTGATAGACCTTGCTTTGTACACACATATACACGTTTTGTTTCTTTGAGACCTGTCCAGACCGGTGGCGCAGTCCTGCTGCTGGAGTCCCCCGGTCACTAGGCAGTCTCGCTTTGGTGGTCTACTGTCATGTATGTCTCTATAGGGTTGTTGAGTTACGTCACTCTGCGCCTCTATGCAGGCTTCCTTCTATATAGAACTATGTACAAAGGAGTGGGTGCCTCAGCTCGTCTTGTTATGTGAGAGATGAATTTAGAGGGTGGTATAGAAAAGTTGGAGGTTTTTGGTTTTGTGTTGGAGCCTTCTGTCTTACTATCCTTGGGTGGGGTGGGGCTTTCTGCTCAATCTCTTTACTGGGTGGGTGGAGTATGTTCGTCAGCTACTTGTTAGCAGAAGCAACAAAGGTATTATTTGGGTTTTGTATGTAGTGAGCTGTCATGGTTCATATGTAGGAAGGGTCTCCATCAGTGTTGTGCGTTTATCTTCTCTTGGACCTGGTTCCCAGCTTTTTAGGGCTCTACATGTCTTTCATTTCCCCACATCGGTGGGGTCAATGGACTTGTAGGTATCTAGTCTAGCTATGCAACTTTGCACACTTTGATTGGATCGGTGGCTTTTCCTGGCCATATTTTCATAATCTAAATTAGTAGTGAGCTGTTGGATGAGGGTCAATTTTATTTTATTTTTTTAATAGTCACACTGCATACAAGGGAAATGTGGCACAATCAATGATTGCTGATTTCTTATTTAACTGTCCATGGTAAAAAAAACAGTCTACTCTTCTTTACAGCATTTTGAGAGGGAACTCAGGAGGTTCTCCTTGCACGAGAAAAAAATGTCTCTAAACAGCCATGGTCTTTATGACACTGAAAAGGTGAGATTCTGCCTTCTGAATATCCCTCTTTTGCAGGTTTTCTGAAAACTGATCATCCTGCAAGTGTCTGCTGCACATAGGAACTTGATGATCTATTAACCAATCTTTTCACACATTACTTTCAATTAGTGAGGACGTGTGACATCACTCACACATGCTTAGTAATGTTACTAATAACTATGCAATGGCGATGCACAATATAGCCAAGAGTGGTATTTCAATCATTACAAAAAATAAAATAGTCTACTTATTTCCAATAATTAGCTCAAAAAGATTATCTGTGAATAAAATGCCACTCTTCAATTAACTTTTTACAAGTTTGTTGCCTTTTTATGCACAAGGTGGTGGTGGTGGGGGTTGTTTTTTTTTTTTGTGTGCGTTTTTTTTTTTTTATATATTTATATATATCTTGTTTCTCTTCGCCTTAAAAGAGGGAGACAAGAAAAGGTGGAGTCATGGTGAAATAGTTTTGTTATAGAAAGCATGTTTACGGCATTGTGCACAAAAAAATCAGGGATGATTATTTGCATGATTCACAATCAGATTCACTCTTTCACGAGTACCAGGCACCCAAATCATATTTGCATGCTAGGTGCTCTTTAATAGGAACTCTGAGTCAAGATTCAAAGGTCACTGTTTGTAAATGCATATATTGTCCACAGCACAGGACATGAGGCTGTTAGTCTCCTCTCATGAACAGTCTATTAAAATAATTCTGTTTAACATAAAGGTAGCAGTTTATGGCATGAGTGCTTTCTAATTTGTGTGTACTGCTACACTAGGCAAGACTTACTGGAAGTAAAAATAATATAGAGGAAATGTCTAAAGGGTGAGATAGATCCAACCCTGAAGTCAAAAATTAGGACTAAATGGGCGACAAGTGTTGGGCATAACCCAGAGCGATAGAGTGCCAAATATCATTTAACTCCAAGCACCAAATCAACATCAATGTAATGTAGCAGCTTTGGTGTATAGATCATGCAGTCTCGGTGCTCAGTTCTGTCATTTAAGAGCTATATTATTTAATAAGCTATGAGACAGGAGATTTAGGGATTTCTTTTAATAAGTCCACTTTCCTTATGACTATTTAAATAAGCTCTCTTAAGCTGCCACTACGCATCTTTGTGTGTACAATTTAGTATTTGGACACTGTTTAGCCACTGTCTATAAGGTTGGCTGATTTAGGTGTTCTTTACCATCTTCATACTGGTTGCCACTGTGGCTACAGATATATTTGTCTCAGGTGTAAGATATTTGGCACTCTAAATTGAGAGTTGATTGATCTATTAACATATCTATCGATTTGGGGTTGCTTCCTTTACCTGATTCTATTATATGGACTAAGTCCACAAGACAATAGTTTATACTATGGGCTTAAGATTGCCTCTAGACTTAGAGGAACGTGCATCTTGATCCATTAATATATGTACTCCTTCAGGGTTGCTCCTACCACTAGTAGCACCTGATATTATTATATGTACTAAGTCTACAGGTAGACACTTTATACACTGTCCCACTGTCTCCATTTTTGTCTTTAGTCAGCAATTGTCTTTAGACCTAGAGGAGCGACTATCTCCTCCTGAATCTAGATATTATAATTACAATATGTACCTCTGGTTTTTGATAACCTATACTCTCTGTCTCTCTAACCTATTGGATACCAGGCACAGTATCGTTTTTTTTTTTGCCCTACTTTCCCCTATACTTGCACTATACTAGCTAGACTCCATTTAAGATCTAGACCCTGCAAGGGTAGCACTGTTTTTCCCCTTTTTTACCGTTCACTGTTGATTCTATGAATTTTTTTATTAAAGAATTTTTTTTAATTTTTTTTTATTGATGTTGTATAAACCATGGTAATTGAGGTATATACTCTTTTGTATGGGCACACCTCCTGTTAATATCTGTTGGAAGCTGAACTTTGGTTCTCCTTTCCAGCAACTTGTGACAGTTGGGGATTTTTCACTTACTGTAAGTAACTTTCTCAGTCAATTATGAAGATGCATTATAACTCTGATAATGTTCACATAGGTAATGCATCATTAGACAATTTTCCTTTTCTGTTTACAGAGATGTTACCTACCAGCTCATTCTGAAGAGGAAATCTTTAAACATCTTGGCTTGACATACATTTCACCTTCTGACAGAAATGCCTGACTGGTGAAGGTTTACGACTTCATAACTCAGGTAAAATTGCTTGAAGAGACATCCTGCATGAAGGAGGTTCCTCTCTGTTTACATTTTTATAAATCTTGGTGAAAGGAAGAGGTGTGTGTTTTTGGTTTTTTTTGGTTTGTTTTATGCACCTGGTTATTCAGTTGGATTTGTATTTGCATTTAACCCTAGAGAGAAATTATATCTAGTTCATCCTTTTCCTTATGAATTGGGGATTTGAATGCAGTTCACATTTAACTAAGGATTCCATCAAGCTGCCGCTTCACGCACTGGCTTCTGCATTAGTGCTGCCAGAGCTTCCAGGTAGTCCATTGTAGCTAACATTCTGGTTGCTGGCCAAATCAACTCTATAGTAAAAGGCACTTGACTATTAAAGGGCTACTCCAAGCACCAAATCAACGTCATGTAGCAGCTTTGGTGTATAGATCATGCAGTCTCGGTGCTCAGTTCTGTCATTTAAGAGCTATATCATTACTTTTGTTTCAGTTTATGCTGCCCTAGTCATGCCTCCTCACAGCTAACCTTAAAAAATTGTTTCATGTTTAATCCGATCTTAAAGCATAGTATATTTACTTTAGAAAATTGCATCTCTGCTCTGTTAATGGCACTATAATCATACACATGGAGGTCTTTTGCAAGCCTTAGCAGACAATTAACACAGCAGGAGATAAGATATTCTTGAGAATTTAAAAATTAGATCTCTCTTAACAGGAATTGTGTATGTTGATTGTATAAGTCACAGGCAGGGTAGGTCTGGCTAGGGTTGCATTAAGAAAGTGATTTAACTCCTAAATGTCAGAGAATTGAGCAGTGACCTATACACCAAACCACTGCATTAAACAAAAGTTGTTAGTGTCCCTTTTAAAGACCAATGATGGAATTACTCTGTCATGGTTGTCATTCTCTTAACCCCTTTCCCGACCTCGGACTGCGGCTTTTGACACTGTTGATCATCAACAGCTTCTTCTCATCATCCGCAATATCAGTCTACAAGATATTGCTTTCTCCTGGTGCTCCTCCTACCTCTCACAGCGCTCTTTCGGTGTTTCTTTCTCTGGCTCTGCTTCTTCTCCCCAACTCCTCTCTGTTGGTGGCCCCCAAGGGACAGTCCTTGGTCCCCTACTGTTCTCCATCTATACTGCCTCCCTTGGTAAGCTCATTAACTCCTTTGGCTTCCAATATAATTTCTATGCAGATGACACGCAAATCTACCTGTCCTCTCCTGATCTCTCCCCATCCCTCTTGACTAGTGTCTCTGACTGCCTCTCTGCTATTTCTAACTGGATGGCTGCCCACTTCCTTAAACTAAACTTGACCAAAACTGAAATTCTGGTCTTTCCTCCCTCAAGTGTTGTTACTCCTGTGTCTATCTCCCTCCAAGTCAATGGTGCTACCAGCTCCACCACGCAGGCTCACTACCTAGGTGTTCTCTTTGACTAGGACCTCTTCTTCAAGCCTCATGTTCAGTCTATCGCCAAATCCGGTCGTTTCCACCTCAAAAGCATTGCGCGCATCTGACCCTACTTAACTCCAGATGCGACTAAGGTGCTAGTCCATTCCACTGTCCCTTTCTCGCCTTGATTACTGTAATCCGCTTCTCAGTGGTCTTGCGTGCTCCATAATGATTGCGGGGGCGAGGCTCATCTTCTTCTTGTCCGCCCGCACCTCCCACGCCCTCACCCTTTTCTGGTTTCTGGTTCTTGCTTTCAAATCACTACATAATGCTGCTCCCATCTATCTATCCTCCCTAATACACAAGTATATCCTGTCTAGGCCCTTACGTTTTGCTGAAGACTTACATCTATCTTCTGTCCGTACTCCCACCTCTAATGCTCGCCTTCAAGACTTGTCAAGGGCTGCACCGTTCCTGTGGAACTCGCTTCCCTCCTCTGTTAGATGCTCACACAGTCTCCACTTCTTCAAAAAAAAAATCATTAAAAACCCACTTCTTCATAAAAGCGTATCAATTAAACTGTTTATAGCTCCCGACTGATTCCTCTTTTGCAATTGTCACTAGTCTAATACTATCCTTACCTTTTTATGTCACTTTACCCCACTCCCTCCAGCATGTAAGCTCATTGAGTATGGCCCTCAACCCCTCTGTTCCTGTGTGTCCAACTTGTCTGGTTACAACTACATGTCTGTTCGTCCACCCATTGTAAAGCGCTGCGGAATTTGATGGCGCTATATAAATAACAACATAATAATAAGTACGTTCAACAAAAATGGTCCTTGAAAGTTACAGGTTTAAATATAAGGCTTGATTTTGTATTTTTTCACATTGAAATTTGCCAGATTGGTTATGTTGCCTTTGAGACCGTATGGTAGCCGAGGAATAAAAATTACCCCCATGATGGCATACCATTTGCAAAAGAAAACAACCCAAGGTATTACAAATGGAGTATGTCCAGTCTTTTTTAGTAGCCACTTAGTCACAAACACTGGCCAAAGTTAATTGGTTTTTTTTTTGAAATTTTTAACACAAAAACAAATATAAATGCTAACTTTGGCCAGTGTTTATGACAAAGTAGCTACTAAAAAAGACTGGACATACCCCATATTGGGTTGTCTATTTTATAAAAAAATATGTACATGTGAAGGGTTATTCAGGGATTCCTGACAGAGATCAGTGTTACAATGTAACTTGCGTTAATGTAGAAAAAAAATGATTTGGAAATAGCAAAATGCTACTTGTACTTATTGCCCTATAACTTTCCAAAAAAGCTAAGAACATGTTAACATTTGGGTATTTCTAAACTCAGGACAAAATTTAGAAACTATTTAGCATGGGTGTTTTTTGGCGGTTGTAGATGTGTAATTGATTTTGGGGGTCAAAGTTCAAAAAGGTGTTTTTTTTAGGTTTTTTTAATTTAATTATTTTATCATATTTCATAATTTATTTATTTTTTATAGTAAGTTATGTGATATGATGAAAATAACCATTTAATGAGTACGGGAAAAATTATAGAGAAGCACAAACACCGCAGAAATCTAAAAACAGCCCTGGTCCTTAACGGTAAGAAAATTGAAAAACTGGTCACTGGTTAAGGACCCATGACAGAATAATCTGGTCATGTGATATTATGCCAGTAGTGACCATTTTACTGCTTGTAACTGTGAACCACAGGGATCATTTGATACCTAGAGCCAGAATTAGCGGCTTCAGACTGACCGATTCTCTGTTTGCAATCCTCAAAGTGAGCGCTGCAAAAAGACATTAAAATGGGGTATGAAATCCCTATTGTTACAATGCAATCTGGGACTCCCCTCTGTCAGCTGGGGTCATTGCTGACTTTCAGTGCTGCAAGCGGCTCAACTGTCAACCCTCAATTCATTGGCTTTGCCCAGGGCCGTCTATAATATGAATAGGACCCTGGGAAAAGCATTTTCTTGGGCCCCCTGGGCCCTGTCCCTCCCACCCCCGCCGTTTAGAAGATCTTCCCCTTCCAGAGATACAGGCACAGCTACTGGCAGCTACTGCTCCAAACTCCTGAACTGCATACAAGGGAATGCTCCAAACTCCTGAACTGCATACAAGGGAATGCTCCAAACTCCTGAACTGCATACAAGGGAATGCTCCAAACTCCTGAACTGCATACAAGGGAATGCTCCAAACTCCTGAACTGCATACAAGGGAATGCTCCAAACTCCTGAACTGCATACAAGGGAAAGCTCCAAACTCCTGAACTGCATACAAGGGAATGCTCCAAACTCCCGAACTGCATACAAAGTAGCACTCCAAACTCCCAAACGGGAACCTCACGAATAGCTGCTGGCAGACGAACAGGAAAAGCTCCCAAGTGGCTTACACTCCTGGCAATGCGTCTCTAACAGCATACAGTAAATCCCCCCCAAAGACGAGTCAGAACTCAGTGTTTCGGGTCAAGCAGTGGTCTGGTTTATTGAGGGCTACCTGCCCTGTATTTATGCAGGTCTCCCAGCTGGTGGACACTCCCCTAGGGGACCAAATGGGAGACTGTGACAAAGGACAGACCTGAACCAATGACAGACACACAGAGGTAAAACATCCCCCACAATGCATCCTAATTTCCCTCCCTCTGTCCTGGAGATAATTGGGAAGTAATCCAATTATCTCCCAGGACAGAGGCAAAACTCCATTAACCACATGGCAGTAAAAGACATAAAAATGTATAAAGTTACAACTGTTGCACAAAATATATACATTCTACCTATCCCCAGATAGCTTCGATCTCGGCGCACATTATTACCGGATGGCGCTCAGATCACATACATACAGTTCAATCGCAATGGAGCCAAAGTCTTTCCCATAGTCTTTCGTTACACGAATAGGCTCCATGACTTGGCTATCTGGGGTAATGCTGTTCATATGGTTAAACTACCGAATGAACAGGCATACGGTTAAATGACCGAATGCAGAAGCAAGAAGGCTTTTTAACATGGGGCTATAGTCCAAGGGCAACAGGCGTGCGACCAGGCTTCTCCAATGCTTCGTGGCGAGGTTGGTTTCGCCACATTTACTGACATACACATACTGACACAAATATATACTGGCAGACCTATTGACACACATTCAGACATACTGACACATATATACATACAGACACTGACGGATATACTGACGCACACAGACATATACTAACAGAAATACTGAAACACACTCAGACACATACACTGACAGACGTATTGACACACACACACACGGGCATGCTGACAGACACACACACACACACAGGCATGCTGACAGACACACACACACACACGGGCATGCTGACAGACACACACACACACGGGCATGCTGACACACACACACACACGGGCATGCTGACACACACACACACACACGGGCATGCTGACAGACACACACACACGGGCATGCTGACAGACACACACACACACACTCACACGGGCATGCTGACAGACACACACTCACACGGGCATGCTGACACACATGCTACATTTAGCCACTCTCCAGGTTCTTACCTTTTCCTGGAGGGTGTTTT